AGGGAAAAAAAAGAAACAACAGATACCGTATGTCTGTGCATTTATGTATCTCCAAATTGTACTCATGTGTTTGTCTGCCTGTGCTCGGGAAGTTCATGAACTTTCTCGTTCAGGTCACGTGACTGTCGGGGGGCCTGGAGCTTAACAATGGTGCTTTATTATGAGTAGATTGGGATCTGCGGCTGGGATTGCCCGTAATAGCGGTTACTAGAAAATAATTGGCCCTCAAACCAGATTTAGCACATGAACCCATGCTCTCGCACAGACTAGCAGACAAACACATGATGATTGTTTGAAACTGTTTTTGATGTCTTTTGGAGATGTTCTCATGTTAAGAAAACTGCAGTTTAAAGGTACATTTAGTGAGGAAATAAGTTGCTTTTAATAATATCATACTGCCATTTGACCCCCTTTGAGCTCTGAGCATTTCACGAACTTATGAATGAGCTTCGTCAAACTGCCTGCAGTAACAGAAACCGCTCCCATGGCAAAGCGTGCGATCGTCAAAAACCACATATCAAGTTCCTCCTGGAATAGCTCAGACAAACGGGGTTTTACAAGTTTAAGTGGCTGTATGATTTCAATCACTGCGTTGTTGGCAACTTGGGCAATGGTCATAAAATGTGCTCAAGAAAAGTGCTGCTGTTTAAAATTGTGTAATCTCTTCCTCTTGTCCCCCCTGAGGGATGGTACTGAATGGGAGTATTGTGAGATTTGCCATTGATGTAGACAGTTTTACTTCTGTTGCTTGAAAAAAATTCTGACTAAAAGGAAAAAAAAAGTCAAACAACAAAACGGCTTGTGGTTTCTTTTGTTCCTGTGACTGGCTGCTATGTTTTCCCGTCAACTGGAGAGTAGGAAAGTGACAGGCTAGAGGACGGGGGGAAAAACAACAGAGCTACTGGTTTCCAGGGGACAAAGACGGCGAGAGTGGAAGACGCTACGATTTACAGGCTGAGGCGAGTGTGAGCATTTGCATGAAACGCCACAGACAGATGGGCTCATGCCCCCTCGAACACTCGCCATCGTTGTTTCACACACGGGGACTCATAGAAGCTGAGACCACAGCGCAGATGTGACACTACCATGTGGAAAAGAAAGCCCGACTGTAATCCCTTAAAACGGCAGAGTCACAATCTCTATTTCCAACCACCAAATCCACATTTTAACCTTTATCTCTGATGTCTTGTTTTGTTACAGTTTCTGAAAATCAGATTATTTTTACATTTATGATCCTCAAACTTTAAGCAACACAAAAGCCGACATTAAAATGCCCCTCAGTCAAAGTTGATGATTTACCATCATAGTTAATGACTCCTTTAGTAAATTAGACAGCTGTGTTTGCTGGCTAAGCTTCTTGCTACTTAGCTCTCTCTCTCTGATTAATTAAGCATCACAAGACGAGATAAATCCATCTACTTTTGACCATCCATATGAAAAGGATCTAGTGTCATTGTCTTCCACAGATGGCTGAGTAACTCAGTTCAGACTGAAACTGAGGCGCTGTAATGAATAGAAATGAGAATGCACACAGATGAGGCCCGAACATGCGGCAGCGCTGATCTTCTCACTTCCCCTTTACTAAGAAGAAATAAGGTTAAAATGGACAGGACAAAGCTTAGGAGCACCTAACACTACCACACCTGAATAGATACTGAAACCCAGTTTTCTTCACGGCTCATTGTCCTTCAGCTTTGGTTCTCCTCATTTTAAACAAAGTCAGTCCTGAGGGGATTTGAAGACCTACTTAAAGAGTTGTTCCAGGAGACACACTTCGCTTTTTCCCACATCATACTTTCTCAAGCAGTTTTCAACGTACAGTGGCTGAGTAAAATCATAATAAACAAGATTTTAAGGTTTTAGGATTTAAAAAAAAAAAAGTCATCTCTTTCCCTCATGGACCTTTTGGCCAACAGAAATTTCTAAATGTACATCAGTCGCAGAGATTGTATTCTTTGTTTGATGCGAGAGGTCAGATCAACTTAAATGTCACCCTCTTTCTTCGTTAAGAGCAGGACGGAAATGTTAAAGCAGCATCAGCTTGAATAAAGACAGAATGGAGGAGCCAAGGAGAACGAATGGGCACAGCTGCCATCTGGTTGTTGTGGAGACGGGCAGCGACAAAAAAAAAAAAGGGAAAAAGAGAGGAGATGGAGGAGGAGGAGGAGGTCTGCTGCTGCTGCTGGACTGAAGCCAATGCAAGGGGACACCGGGTTCAGTCGCAAAGAGGTGGGCTGGATAAACGCCAACAGGTGGACCTGTTGTGTCTGAGTGGGCGGGTATATTATCTCCCCAGTCTGAGAGTGTGATACTGTATCACTGTATAAACACACCGACATGAACCTATTGGCACACAGCAGCAGAAATGTGCTCAATAACTCTGCTTGATTACACATCACAGGGCGGACACAGGAAACCACACTGAAATGACTGAAGCGGCTGTTCAAAGGCTGCTCTGGAGATTCGGGCTGAATCACTACAAATAACAACAAGGTATGGTGACACATTACAACAAAAAACACGACAAAAAAGCAAATATGAAAGGAAATGATAAGACACAATTTTATACCGTTTTTTGTCTCTGTAGGGAAATATATCTTGAATTACAGTACTTTACACTCAAAGATACTGACCTTGTTTATGATAAATTTAGATTGCCAACCAAAAAGAATTCAGCACACAGAGAATTACATATAAGTTTTACCGTTTGTAGTTTGTGTGGTTGTTTTAGCTCGATATCTTTGAGCGGCCAGTGAAATAACAGCAATTTGAACCTTAAAAGCACAGCTAAGGGGTCAAAATCCAACTTCACTTGTGTAATATAGTATATGTTTGCAGTCTTTGGCTGTGTGGTCAGGGTCAATGAAGTGGTTGTGTTATGATTTAAGGAAATGTATAAACGTATTAAAACGAAACTCAAAATGTGTTTTCTAAACTTTTTCTTACATCTAAGCTTGTTGAGGCCTAAGAAAACTCTCCTAAGTTTTGTAAATCAGTGATTGAGTAATATGCTTTTTTTCCTCAACACTGTTTTAGCTAAACGTCTGAACTTCTTGAATTTTAAGATATGGTACCTATAACAGCTGAGTGCTTTCATTACATAAAACATGTACTTTACGAACCACTTGAAAATGATTTTTCTTGGCATCAGTTTTGATTAAAAAAGCTCACATCATAAATTCGCCAAAGGGAGATCTACAATCTGGTTCGCATAGACACCCTCAGTCCTAAAAAACTGAAGCACACTGCTACACGTGGCTCCTTAATAATGAGTACGGGATGATGTAAAGTGAGCAGGTGGGGTCCTGGCAGTGTGAGCAGGACCAGTCTGCTTCCCATCTGGGTCCTACCCGTCCCTGTTTGGATGTTATCCTGCACAACCACCTGCTTATGATACATTATGGCTTACTTATTGAACATACTGTACTCCGCCTGGGAGGCAGTTCATAAATTCTGTAAAGATAGACTGCACAGATAAGGATTGTGTAAGAAACGCTGTATTTTATTTAAGGGTTGACCCTTTCCATGTCTGCTTATCCCAGTGAAAACACATCCCCGTCTTGGGAGAGGCCCTGTTATGAAGTGGTGGTATAACTCCTCAGTCAGATGTATGTCTTGGCCTCCATAAAAGAGCTGCTATTTTTACGTTGTTTACATCATCTTTGGCCTTATGGAGCATTGCAGTCTGTGCTGCTTCACACTGGCAACAATACAGGAAGTCTTCCTGACTTTATGACTTCCTCTACGGCGCGGACCACAGGAAGCTCTTTGGATGTAGGACACGGAAATAGCTTTCACTCCCATTGCGAATGTGGGAATGTTAATGTGGGCGCTAATCCATCCATGCTCCTAAATCGCTTCCTTCCCATTATTCACTACAGAGAGTATCTAGAAAGAAAGGGAGATGCTGTTTCCACCATTTTTGTCGAGTTCCCACAGTAACCGCTATAAGTAATGCTACAGGTGTTTTAGCTTACGTAAACCAACTGTGTGCTGACCCAGCCAAGAAAGCCGAGGATTACTGTCTGTACACCACAAGCTCCCTCTGCTAATCCTCCAAACTTTCCCTCCTGTTTTCTACCCTCCATACAGATTTAAAGGCAAAGTTAAAGACTACAGACTCAATTAGATGAGTAAACTCTCAGAGATGACGTAGTCTGGGGGCCATTACTGCATCGCCTTTGAGGTAACCTGACCCTTGAATGCCACAGCAGATGCAAACATTTTTCTAATGTATTTCCAGTTCCTTTTCCTCACCGCCCCCTCTTTTTCATGGTGTACTTAGCCTAACAAAAAGCCTCTCTCTCCTCTGTCTCCACTCCCACCCTTTCCTCGCCCTCTCCCCCCATTAGCTCACACTCACCTGCCCTCTCCCCTCATAAGAAAATGCTCACTATGATTATGATTTTTTTCCCTCGACAGGCTGCGAACGAGAGTCTGAGAAAAAGGGAGGAAACAAAGTGCCACATGGAGTGAGTGATTGAGGGAAAATGAGAAGGTAGAAAGGGGAGAGGAGGGAGGAGAAGAGAGGAGGGTGTGTTGGTTGGATGGGTGGGTGTGTAGAGGGGGGCACTGTGAGGCCTCTGTGCTTTATTTTCCTTGAAAGCTCCCTGAAAAACCGCAGACACATGGTACAGAATTCCCCCTCACAGTTGGAGAGAGGAGGGGGTGGCTTTTGCAAGAGAACACCAAACTGTCTGTGATTAACACACACTCTCACACTCTCACACACACACTGGTAGGGAACATTACAGGCGAGTACACACTTGGAAAAAGAAAGGAGTGTGTGAACCAGACGGGCAAACACTCATCTTCACAAAAGAGAGAAGGGGAACTTTGAACGCACCGACAGGAAACCTCAAAAACACATCACCTCGGCTCCTCTTGGCTCTCTGGGAAAGTGGTCCCACTTTCCACGGGTGTTGGTACTGTGGTGGTGGTTGTAGTCGTGGGGTGGGGGTGTTAATCCTACATACAATGTGTTTAACTTTGACTGGCAGGTCCCTCGAACCCTCCCACCTTCTCCACGCTGTGGGGCCCTTTTGAGCCCAGAGATTGAGGACAAGCGTAGAAACTGGTATGGAGGTGGAGCTGTGGGCCAACTGGGAAAAGTGAAGGATCAGGTGGTGCAAATGGACCAGTTCGGAGCTTCATTTTGGCTTAAAATGGACCCAGTGTCCCCGAAATTAGGTGCTTGGCTAGCCTATCCACAAACATCAATCAGAATGTTTCTTAAACTACCAATTTCTTTGTCTCTTCCTCTTTAACTTGTTTTGCAAATTCCTTTTTCCCAACAGGACACCCAAGCATGGGAACTCCAACATCCACTCCCAAAGGTCACACGAGGAATGAGAAAATGGAAGAGTATCGCCATCTAGTGGACTTCACCTTGCGCACTCCTGCTGTTAATGCAGATCACTTCACCTTACATTAATCACCCCTCCAAAAATGCCATTAAAAATAGATAATTAACATTTTTGTAATGATAAGAAGAGTGTTTGCCTCTGTTAAATAGAACCCTTAAGGTCAGTGTTCCCTTCATGGCTTGAATCAACAGGAACAAACCACTTAATGACTTGTTTCCTCCATTTTCCCTTTTGTGTACTTATTAATGGCTTGGCAAAAGTAAAAAAAAAAAGAACCCTCTCACAAACAGGGAGATCAACATTTTCCATCTAACCCAGAGACCAGCATGCAGAAACTCTCCTGCAAGCAAGAAAGAGGAGATGGAAAATCTGTGTCAGCACGCTGAGTAGCCACTGCCTGCCTGGAAAATGAGGACACAAGGAATGGGAATACAATCATTTTATAAAAAGCCTCAAGTATGACCTTCCCTCAGTCTCCGCTCCTCATACTTGACATTACATTATGTAAATCATTCGCCAAATGAGGCAGAAGTCATGCACAGTAATCCACGTTTGACCTCGAAGGATTTTCCACTCATCAGAAGGTTTCGAATTCTGCCAGGAGATGAGAGGACCTGAGGTTAGAGTTGGGGGATGTCATTTAAAAGAAATGCTGGATGACCAGACATGATTTAGCCTACATTATACCAAAATGATTTCCAGCATTTATTATGTTATGACTGGCATGGTCTACAAAATAGATAGTTAGAACACAGTGACAAACATATAGAGCAAGCAAAGGAGAAATGTACATTTGAAAGTTCACCCAGTTGAAAAAATAGCTACTAGCTACAGCTCTTGTATTGTTCACTTACGCCCAAGATGGAGTTAAGATATTCTCAGTTTATCATTTTATAAAACATCAAAAAAGTTGAAAAATATATTTGAAATATGTCTCCCTTTGGCAAAGTAAACAATTATTAAATATGGGCCTGTTTATTTAAATCATAAAAAAAATATTTATGCCAACTGAGTAACTTCAGTGAACTTCACATAATACCTACTGGTAAATTTGATGGTCCCGTATTATTGTAACGTTTCTGTTTGTCTGTCATATTTTAGACATTTGAAAAACATTTTCGTGCTGCCTTGTTATCTTGTCCCCACTTTCACATTCGATAGAGGTTTTGACGTTTTACGAGGAAGAGAAGATTATAGCTTCCATACTTTGAACATAGCAGCATCAAGCTAGCGCTAACAGCAGGCTAGTCAAAACTCTGTAGCTATGACGTAAAAAAAATGGAAATTTGGGAAACAGCTTGTCTTATTTCCCTCAAAGGTAAGAAAATATAAGAAAACTTAAACAAAACAAGTTTAGAAAAAATGAAGAATTTGTCGATTACGTTAGCTTAAACATCGAGTTTTGTTGGCTAGCACCTGTTGCCAAGCAACCTGTTGAGTAAGGAAGTTACTACTCAAAATATTGGACTATTAATTAATGCTGTTAATCAAGTTTAAACAAGATCATACTTAAAAATCAAATTGGATAATAGTCTTAAAGTAAGATTGAATAAATCATTTAAATAACAATACGTTTTGTAATTTGTTAAAGAACTCCAAACAGATATTAACTAGCTCAAGAAAAACAAATCACAAATACTATTCAAACTTTTATTTGACAAGTTTCTTATGAATCTCATTATTTGATATGTTCATTGACTTGAAAGAGACGTTCCCAGCTGATATCCGGAGATAATCCAGCTCTAATGTATCATCACTTAGTCCTGTATTCTTCACTGAAAAAACATCAAACAGATTAAAATCCCCGCTTCCACTTCCTTCAAAATCCTGAGTGGAGTCTGGTGTTTTTAAACCTTTACTTATTTGATCTGTCTCATTTTCCTGAACACCACTGATATCCTTAACCCTGTCCCCCGCTTGTCCCTCAGGCACTCTGCTTGAGTATTCTCTACCAAACACAGCATCCTCTGACTTCAGGCTCCAGTGAGCTGCCTCTGCTTCTGGCTTGGTGGTAGCTGTGATGTTTCGGTCATTATTCTTGTCAGCCGATGTGACTGGTGTTTGGGTTGTTGCCCTGACATTGCTAAACGAAGCACTTCCAAGAATATCAGAGTAAGTGACTGTTTTTACTGCTTTCTTGGGTTGCTTTGGTAGCCTGACTATGGCAGCATTCCCAGCAGTATTGGTAAGTGAGGTAGATTCACTGAGACTTTTGGTGTTAGCTTGTTTCCCTTTCACTCGTTTTCCTCTCACAGTCGAACTGGTAAAACTGTTGAACAGTCTGGCTTTTATTTCAACAGGGTTGGTTTTGTTTGACTCTCTTTGGCCTGGGTTCAGGTAAGACTGAACCTTAAGAGGCCCAGTGGGTCTGAGGAAAGCAGACGAAAGTCCCTGACTCAGCAACTGTTCTTTATTCGTCCAGTTTGTTTTGTTGGTAGCATCTACAGGTTTGTTTCTTTGAAATCCAGGATGGTTATAGATTCCACGATTCTTTTTGTAACTTCCAGGTATAAATTTTCTGTCTGATTTTGAGCTTCCTGGTGTCTTAAAAGAAGCTTCAGCCTTATTCAAATCTAGTTTTGATTCTTTCTCTTTTTCATTTGCTTTATTTACCCTATATATCTCAAGTGTGCTGCCTCCTGGTTGCCAGATCCTTGAGCTCCTGAGTTTGAAACCTTCCAAGTCCTGCTGGACTTTGGTGGACTCCTCTGGTCGACTAGGTGAAGCTTTGGCTCCCTCAAGTGGTTGATTACTAAAACCTTTGAGACCATATATTCTTCTGAAGATCCTGTACTTTCTGCCATCCGTTTGGTTGCCGAAACCAGCATCGCTTACAGGTTTCTGAGGTTGTACTTCTTTAAATCCTAACAGAATCAGCTTTGGAGTACTAGGGATTTGGGTTACATCAAAAGTACGCTGGGAAGGAGAGGAATCGTCTGTTAGTTGTCGCTCTGGTTTCATCATTGTAGTGAATTGTCTTCGCCCAAAGCTATACTTTCGTGACCCTTTGTAAGAGTTGTATCGCCGAGAGTTTGTACTGTCATTCAAGCCTTCAGATGAAAGAACAGATGGTTTCTTCAGAGCCCTCCACGCAGGATTTTGAAACCCTCTGAAGCTGTAGATGCTTTTATTGGTTTGTTCAGGCTTTTGTGGCTGTATTGATCCACTCGCGGTTGGATTAGCAAGACTACTTAGTGCAGGTTTTCCTTTCATATTGGCATAGTTATTATCCTGGGAATCTCTATAGAGGTTAGGGACAAATCTTTCCATGGAGTCATCTGTCCCTTGAACAGGATGTGGCAGTGTTTGGGGAGGATTTCCTGCCACTGTGCGATAAGATTGCGTGGATTTGTCTCTCTGGGTCACATGAGCAGTTTGATGGAGTGGACTGACACTCTCAGATGGTTTTCTTATGCCCTTGGTTTGACCTTGGAAATGTGAAGAAAACCTGCCATAAACCTGTGCACCTAAGGGTTTTTGAGTTTGTGATGTTGTGGTAAAAAGGCCAGGTCCTTCTATACTTCCTGTGTTTAATGACTGATGTCCACTTAAAGATGCTGTGGTATCTTTAAACAGATATGACTGGATATTTTTTTGTCTTGGTGTTTCACTGCTTCGCTCAGGTTGCCACCCAAGGGAGAAATCGTTGATGGATGACCTCAGTGGTCGTGGGCTGGGGTTGATTTCAGTAACATAGGTGTCTTGGCTGTTGCTGATTGATGGTGCATGAGGGGCAGTTTGTCTCACAAAGCTTGGATATTTTCTTGATTGAATCGCTCTAGATGTACTCGCCGCCCCTGCATCGGCGAGCCCATTTGTCTTCGTATAGCTGCTGTAATGCCTTCTTTGAGTTGGATATAAAGTACTTGAATATCTATGAGTCTGTAATGAAAAAGGGGTTGTATCCTCTACCTTGTTTGAAAGGTCATCTCGTGGTTTTTCTTGGTAGTTAGATTTCCAAGCAACATTGGGCCTCCAAACTTGTGAAGAACTAGAATTCTGCTGAAGAGGACTGGAAGCTTCTTTGTGGTGTGATTTCCTAATTATTGGTGGGTATGAATTATGAAAACTTCTGGTTGTGGGATAGTAATTCACTCTTGGTTGAAATCTCTCAAAGTTTTCATGCAGATTGCCTCTGGTGGAAATATTGTTCCCTGGCTGTGGTCCACTCCACACTCTTGTCATTCCAGTATGGGCGTGTCTGTTATCTGGGCTGTTTTGATTGTAACCAAAGCTACCTCCTTGAAACCGCCAGGGTTTTGATTGATGGTTAATGATTGATGAAGGTTCCCAATGATTCCAGTGTGTCACTGTTCTGCTGGAAGGTCCGGATTGGAGTCCAGTTTCGGTTGATGGGATGGCAGTAAAGAGCTGTTGTTGCTGAGTGTTTGGAGTGTACAGCTGTTTGAAGACTTTGTGCTTCACTTCAAGGTCTGCTTTTCGTATTATTGAACTGGCTAAAGGTGAAAAAGAACAGGAATTAAAAAATTTAGATAAGAGGCATTAAAGAGTGCTGATCTAGAGTATAACAACACTGAATTTAAACAAACAGATATCCCTAAGTGGCTGCTCATTGCTTTTTTAACTATCATGTTAACAGCTCTTTAGATCATTTAAAGTCAGTGACCTAAAACTTCAACGCTCCAAAATCAACTAACTTCCCGCTTATCTCTCCAAATTTCTATTACATTGCCCAACTCCTGACTTTTCAGGCTATGCAAGACTAGCAAAAAAAACAATCCCATGTAGCCTTAAGGAAACAAATATTCAGGCCTCCATCCAGCCCAATCAGTCAACACACGCCCCATGCTTTGTTATATTTTTTTTTTCAGGAGACATTAAGATGAACAGTTGCTCACAGAAACTGCTCACTCTGCACTTTTAGCCCTGCAAATACTGGCTTGTTCGCACTCACCTCTAGCAGCATCTGAGCACATGATAAACGACATGACGGCTGCACAGACCAGGACAAAGAGTCTGCAGAAAAGAGAGGGAATAAAAACACTCTAAAGGCTATTGTTTAGGAATTATGAGGCTTTCAATCAAAAATAATCACCTATTCTTTTTACATCATGAACACACGTGCAAAACACTGGTAAAATGTGAAAATTACCTTGTGTAGAGATGGATGCTTTCTAACATGATGGAGAGTTTTTTTCCAGGGTTGTAAGATTGTCCAAAAAAGGCTTTAAAATGAGCTGTAGTAATGTTTTACTTGTCAAACATGAGTCACCGAGCTCTGAACTCTACTCCCGGTTGAGTCTGATTGGAGGAAATGCTCATCACCTGGATTTGTAAACCACTTCCTGGAGCTCAACAGGAAATCCTCCCCTTTCCATGGATGATTTTTAACTTATATCATGTCTTTTCCTCCTTTGATAACAAGTTTACTTTTATTCATCCTCTAATTTGACCTTCTGGACTTTTCTTTAGTTAGACCAGCAACTCCTAATATAGTGAGTGTTAATTTGAGTGTATTGTTTCACACACATAAGAGTCAATGCTAGTTTGAAGTTGTTTATAATGTACACAGTCTTATTCAAGCTGTCATGCAAAATTCAGCGTAGCCACACAAAGTCGCAGAGTGAGTTTAGAGCAGAAGATGTTTATTTCTTCCTGAAATATATTACAAATACATTGAAATAATACAATAGAAAAATAAATATTATATATAGAAGTGCAGTAACAGCTATAAAGTTGGCCATTGTTCAAAAATCACATTTTTCCATTCTTCCAGCTACATTTTGCTTATCATTTTAACAGGAAATGACAAAGCTGAGTTTCATCTTAAGTCCAGTTGTATGTAAGAGACATTTGTAATAAATTAAGTGTCACATTGTCCAGGTTTTCCGAAGCCATGGATTCCTCAAAACATGTAGGATGCCATCATAGCGAAGTGCCTCATATCTTCCTGGCTCATTGGTCTACAGTCTGTGAAAAAAATAGGACAAAAGAGGAAAATTAGTCATCCAGTTTTTAAAAGTTATACATGGAAGAAGTGATGGGGCACTGGGAGAAAAAAAATCCAATATAAATTATTATGAAAAAATAAAGAATTCTGAGGAAAAAGCCAGAATTCAGAGGTTAAATTCAGAATTATGACTTTTTTCTTAGAGTAATGATAAAATATATATCTCTATTGGATCTGTCTCTTTCCCAGTGGCCCCAATCCTTAGGTTTTCTCTATTTATTTTGAAGATACTTTCTAAATACACAAGTACACATGATAACCACAAAGCTACTTACTTCTCCGTGATTTCTTTCCTCTAATCTTCCTCCAAAGTTTACTCCACGACCACTCAGCCCCTCTGTCAGTGGAGTCGGGGGAGGAGTCGCCCTCCTCGGCTGGAGTCTCCGGGAACGTCCCCTTGTCATGGTCGTCACAGCCGTCCCGAAAGCGACCCTCCTCTTGGTCTTCCTCTTCCCTTTCGAGGATCCCCGCCTCCAGCAGTCGCTCCAAGGCGCACTCATCCACCCTTAGCTCGGCCCTGATTGTCCTCTCTCCGGGAATGATTGTCACGTCTCGGCACAGCGGGCAGACGATGGACCGGTCAGCTCCCGAGTGAGCCTCATCTCCGGGTCCTCCCTGGAGGGGTTGTGAAAGGGCCAAAAGGCAACTCTCGCAGAAGCTGTGCTTACAGTGGAGCTCTCGGGGACACCGCACACCCGCGTTGTAGTTCCAGTAGCAAATCCCGCACTCGAGGTCTGTGTACATTATGCTGTCTGGTGGAGGGTTAGTGATCCACAGACTCACGTCGAGTTTTGAATGAAGTTGGAGGAGTGAGTTGCCCAGACTTATATCAGAGGGTGTAAGGAAGTGCGTGGGAGTGGACTATTTTAGCCAGATAAACATGTGAGTCATCGCTGTCGCAAGACACGTGATGTAATGAAAGTAATGGATAAAAGCACCATGATAGACACCAGCTTTGAATATTCATGGAGAAGGTGTCGAAACTGAACCATAAACAGTGGTTTCAGTTGATGTTAATGATTAAACACACAGTTGGCTTCACTTTCTAACAATTTGGTTGTAGCATGAGTGTTTTGTGAGGTTATAAAAGTTCTTTAACTTTACTTTAGAAAGTGTATTTGAGGTGTTGTGGCCAAGCTGCTCTTGTACTGGTGGGCTGAGGAGGTAGAGGACCCCGCTAGAGAATATCTGATAACATGTGATGCCAGGTGCAGTGGTTACTTTACAGTTAAGTGTCCTCGCAGTGGAAAAAACAGAGAGTGTCTTATGACTAATTTTCCTTAGTTTTTCTTGGTGTCTATCTGATATTGGAAACACGGTAATACTGTCTACCAGGGTGCCTTTACAGTTTGGAAAATATGACTACATGCCCCACAGAGAGCTTTTACCATTGCAGAAATATGAGCATGTGCATCCCTATTGAAGAGGACCGGAAGCTTCTATTGATTGAAATATTTGAAAAATTGTCATACGACGTGAGAAAATATCATAAAATACCCTGAGAGTTGGAGAAAGTTTAAGAAAGTGCTTTCCAAGATAACTTCCTCAGTGTTGAGACTGTGACAACGCATCCTGGAAAAATGTGCCTTCTATGGTCCCCCTGTCAGTCTTTCTAGCTGAAATAACCTGAGATTGTGCCTTTCAGGTTATCCCTCCAGTGGAGAAAACACTGTTATGTGCACTCTACTTTAGAAAACAAAATAAAGTGCCTTATTTCCAGTGTATTAAAGGTGAAAACATGCCATAAAGAAGGCCCATCTAACTTAAAAAATATAGCAATGTAACCTCAAAGGTGCCCTTTTCAGTAAAAATATTAACTAAGTTCAGTGGAGAAAATATAGCCATAGTGTGATATAATAAAATGACTAAAAACTAAAGTTAGAAATTGTTGTCTGTCCTGTTTGCAGACAACACCTTGACAACAGTCAGTTGCTACAGCAGTTTTTTCATTGCCCTCAAACAGCCCAAGTCCTTGCCCTGTAAGGATTCCCCTACTTGATCTAACTTGTTGGCATGTCAGAAGTTTATCTCCGCCTCCCTTAGTGACACACCAGTAAGTGACGTCAGCCCTTCCCTCTGGTAAATCCCGGGATAGCACCTCCTATCAGCCGGAACTCCCTCCATGGTGGTTTCCGCCGGAGTCTTGGCCAACAATCACAAGCTCTTTCAGCCACTGTATGTGTGCGCTTGACTTGTACAATCTTTTGTAAATTTTTTACCGGCTTTTTGACTTCAGTAGCATGGGCCTTACTGTAAGTGTGTGTGGTCATTTGAGGCAGATTGTCTTACAGTAAAAAAAAGAACAGGGAAATGGGTCAGAAAATAAAAACTTGAGGATGGTTTGTTTAAGGGGAGAATCAAGGCCGATCTCTTTGTGTTGACATGTGATGAATTCCTGATTTAGGTCAAAACTTATATACTGTTTGTATTTTAGTAATGAGGTTTAATACCAGTTTAAAGGGCCAGTTTAAGGTCTTGTCCAACACTAAACAGAATTTACATTATAGACTCAATTTAGAGTAACAGCAGACAAAGAAATGCACACTGTGGGGTTTTGCTACCTTTTGACCCCAAGTTTGCTTACGTGATGATCTATGAATCAACAAGGATCAAGACTGCAGTCTCCACTGGTGGCAAAAACAACAAGATGGTCATGCCTGAATCTGTGAGTCTTTAGACCATTACGCACCAGTGGATGACATCACTGAGGCTCTGTCCAAACAAGATATTTTCACTCAGACAGCCTGACTTACCAGGATAATGTTTAACAGGTCTCTTTGAAAAATGGAAAACTACTTCATGAAGGAATGTACTCGAAGAAATAGGTCTTTTTTTTTATAACAGAGAAACCAAAGAAATGCTATTCTGTTTAAGCTTTGACTGGGGTTTTCACTTCTATGACTTTTTCTTCACAGCCAGTGTAAACTGTAGATTCCTCTAAAACATGATTGGCACAACAGCTTCCGATGAATTGAAGCTAAAACATCAAGAGCTCCCCCTGGTGGTTGGCTACAGTGCAACTTGCCCCCAAATGATTCAAAACAGAGAAACATATCATATGAATTTTACTCAAACAGATTCTTGTTGCTGGTGCTCTTGGTTGCTTTTAAATATCATGAAAATGCATTTAATTTCAGTCTGCTTCATAAACTTCAGTGGACATCTGGAGTTGTTTGTTGTGGGTGCCATGCTAGTGCAAAGGTGAAGGCAAAGTTGAAGGCTTGGAAATGGAGGTCAGACAAAGATGCTAAAGCTAGTGACAAGAGGAGGTCTGCCTCTTTACGCATCACGGAGAGGATGTGTTGTTCAGATGTTGAACTGTTGGCATTTGCTCTTCAGCCATATTTTTCTCCTAGGGAGTTCAGTCATATCATAACAATATTTGTTTACATCCCACCTAAGGCAACGGCTGAAGTTCCGAGTGTTGTTCTCCATGATACTGTTGCTAAGATACAGACTCCACATCCTGAGGCACTTGAAATAAAATCAGGAGACTTCAACCATGTAAAGTCTACAGTCTTTATGCTACAGTCTACTGGGGAGGCAGTTTAAAACACAAGGAGTCTGGGGAAACTGGTGAAAAAGGCTGGCTCTGTGGTTGGAATCAAGGAAGGATGAAGGATGCACTTTAAGGAAGGTGGAGGCCATTCAAAAAACATAGATCATACACTTCATAACACCTTGACGGCTCCTCTTTCTTCGGTGCAAAATGGAGAGATTCAGACATTCAGACTTTGTAATTCTTCTATATATAGTAGATGAGATGAGAGTCCAGACAAATAAAAATTTCCCTCTAGCTATCGATTTCTTTATAGTTTTAAAAACCAGCTTCTGCTGAAATAGCGAAAGTCATGTTTGCTTGCTTTTACTCAGAGTGGTTGTGCAATAAATAATTACGGGTGAAAATAGCAGCGTAGGAGTCGAGCATGTTTTAACAGGACAAACTGGTTACAAGGGAATCAGTCAGTCTGGGAATAAATGTTTAGACCTCTTTCAGCACCCTCTTGAAGATGACATGCATAGTTCTAAGTGTGTCAATGAAAGGTTACCTCGTAGTTAAACATAAAAACAAAGAGTAGCAGGAATAATTACACCCTGATCCACCCTTTGCCTTACATGCTGACTATGTGGAAGCATAATAACAGGATGGGAGTCGGGTAAGACATGTCGGGATCAAGAGACTCCAATCTGTCATTTTCTGTCTCATGTATCCTGGTTACCTGCACATCACCGAGGGTTTAATTAATGTTCAGCAAACCACACAGAGATGCCTCATGGGAGAAGAGACAGAGCAGCGGGGACGAGTAGAATCAGGTGAGACAGAGCGAAAAACAGCAGGCTGACAGTAAACCAGGCTCAGACACGCAGCGGGAAAGAAACTTGAGTTTTTAAAGTGCATTCAAGAAAAGGGAGGAAGACACTCTGCCAGGATGAGATCTGCACCAACAAGAGGAAGAGTGTGATTTGAGAAAGGGGAAGTACCCGGGTCAGAGGTGGGCATCAAAGTGAGCTCTGATCAAAGGGAGTGTGCAGTGGGTAAGTGCCGCTCTTATCTGCTGCCGAGTATGTTACGATGGATCGCTGCCAAATTCTCTCTGTTCAGTCTCACTGAAACTGCTGGCCTACATAGAAACTGAGAGAGTTCATTTATTCATACGGAGCAGCTACTCTGTGCAGGCTTCACCATTTCTTTCATGAGATATCTTTAATATGCTTTCATCGGGGAAGATTATAATATAACTCCCACTCATGATATAATTCCAGCTGTAGTTAAAAGAAAAGATTCCCGGCTGTGAGTAACAACTCAAAGGAGACCCCATTTGCTAGGAAACAGACCCCCATGAGTGAACTGGGGTTGCCTTGTAGTTTTCCCAAGTGAGCAACACACAAATACAAACTTAGCAAATATTTTTTTGTCATGTTTCTGATTTATTTTCTTTACTTTTTTGCTTTTATTTTCATTATTTTTAGTTTAGTCTACTTTGTATGTTAGGCGTATGTTGGTTGGGGTTGTGTGTGGGAGTAGGATGAGCAAGATGTCTGTATTTGTTATATGTCATGTATGTTAATGTATTGTAATGTGTCCTGAGTTCTATGTCTGTATGTTTGTTTATGGATCCCCTTGAAAATGAGATGCGACTTCTCAAGAGGCTATCCTTCAATAAATTCAAATAAATTCAAAAGTTTACAGGTACAAGACTTTAGCCGTTTCAAAGTTGCTCTATCGTGTAGTTAGAAGACTTACAAGAGCGATTTTGAGATGAATTTTTCATATTAAAGCAGCAGAGATGTTTTACTTTCACTTGAATACTCTCTTAATTATAGGTCAAGCTGAAAACAGACTGGATGTGACATTCTCCATGATAGCCCCCCCATGATTTAATCATACCATCTGTCAAGCTCCGAGCCATCTCTTAACAATTCAAGCTAACTTATAAAATTTTCATGTTAAGTCGACCTTGATGAAACTTTCAGTGTTATTGCGTAATACTTCAGAAATCTGATCTGCAGTGCTGAAAAAAAGCAGCAAAACAGGGGAAAAGTCCTCTGATAAGTGGAGCAACACAACACTGTAAGAAGACAAGAGGACGTGCACAAACACACTCACACATGCAGTGAGCGTCATTACAGTGACTTATTACTTCCTTTAACAGCTCTTGTGTTTTTTATTGGCTAACTTCTCGGACGTGCTGAGTGTGCAAGCCGTCTCACTCTACATGGAGCAGGAGTTATTATGAGGAGGTTTTTTTTGGGGGGTTGGGTGGTAAGACAGTGGATGTTTAAGTGGTTTAATGGATGAATGTGATGACTCACGGGCTGAGGAATCTGCTTCATAAAACTTAGAGGACACAGAAGTGCATCATGAGGAGAGCGAACCCTGATGTTGAAAAACATCTGGATGTCTCACAGATTTTGCTTTCTTCTCACAGATCCTCCAAAAGTGTCCCCACTGAATTTCCCAAGATAACTCCGTCCACTTCACCATGTCAGGGGATGTTGTTCTCGATCCCCAGCAGGGAGATCCATCTGCAGCAGCACCCATCCCTAGCACCATCCCCGGGGAGCCCATGGATGCAGAGTGTCCCATCTGCTACCAGGAGTACAACCAGTACAACAAATGCCCCCGGATGCTGGAGTGCCTCCATGTTTTCTGCACCGAGTGCCTCCAGAGGATCCAGCTCTGCCCCTCTGACCCCGCTGACCCTCACAGCTCACCCGCCATCCCCTGCCCGCTCTGCCGCCACCTCACTCCTCTGGAAGCCGGGAACGCCCTCTCCTTACCCTGCAACTCACGCATCCTCGCCAGGCTTCCCCCCATGGCCTTCCATATGCCTGTAACCATGGCGACTCGCCTGGCAACTGTCACCCAGAGAGTGGTGTTGTCCCTGGAGGGTGACAACAGGGACACCCGCTTCATCATCCTCCCCACTGTCAGCCTGCGGGTGCAGCAGATGCACCCGGACAGGCCGTACGGCACAGCGCCGGGTCTGATGGGAGAAGAGGAAGTCATCCAGCAGAGCAAGAAGACTCTCTTCTGTGTGCAGATGCTGGCCGTCATTTTCTGGGTGCTGTTTGTGATCACATGTGTAGTTGGGGTTGTGTTTGGGCCTCATTTCTTAAACAGAAAATTTTAAGAAGAAACAGAGAGCTTCTTTTTATGAGCAGATTTTAGTCATTTAAAGCCTTAGTGCAGACTTTATTACTGAGTTTATTACTGAATTATCAGGTTGTAATTTATAGGACGGACTCTCCTCCCTTATTAACACAAGCCCTCTCTGCAGGTTTGTTGGACTTTCATACTAATAGGCTGACAAAGTGCTCCCTCTAGTGGTGTATGTACAAATAGGTGGATCAGTATCATCACTTTGGAGAGGAGGATTTGAAATTGAGATGGCGTCTGTCCCCCTCAAGGGCTATCAAGTTTACACTGTGCATGTTGAATTATATTAATACACAAATGATAACTGACTTGACAGTGCCGAGATTTAAATAGTTGGCTTATGTAACACATTGACACCCCGTTTGTCTCACGTGAAGACCTAAAGGGTGCTCCTGGGTATCTATGACAGAGATCTGTGATGAAGGATTTTGTTTCGTAACGTGAGAGCAAATTGTTTCTTGTGATGGTAAAGGCTTTTGGCTCTAATGATTTTCTGTCTTCTGTGTGTTTTGTCTTGTTGATTTCATCTGCACTTACCCGAAGTTAGAAATCAAAAAACAGATTCAGAAGCTTCCAGCAACAATTGCAAAAGCAAGTAGCCAGTTTGATTTTCTGATCCAATAAGTTTAAAAAGTGTACACCTTTTATTTTTAAGTCCACACTAAATGTTCAAGGATGCTACAATACACTTGATTTAGTATACAGCTTTTAATTTGTGATAATGTGAGCAAATCCGCATGAACTGACTCTGCATATTAGCTTTGGGGTCCATATTCTAAAAGAAGGAATAGTCTTAAGATCCTTGACTTTGACTAAATTAGATGCTTATTAAGCAATTTATACAAAATTTAATGTGAAAAACATTCTTATTTGGATTCAAGCTGGACACAGTGGAGGATGTGGTGGAGAGCTCTACACTGAGGAAGGAGGAGCCTATTCTCAAGAACATGGATCACCCACTTTATCACACCTTAATGGACCAAAGGGCCAATGGTGGTGGACGGCTCCTCTCTCTTCGTTGCAGGACAGAAAGATTCAGAAGATCTTTTGTACAAACAGCTATCAGACTGTTTAATTCTTCTGTAAATAGGAGATGACTTTTAGAGACATGACTTTTAGAGACATGACAAACAATTGAATTTCCCTTTGAGGATGAATGAAGTTATTCTTATTCTAAGACTTAATTTACAGTAAAGGTTTTGAAGCGCCTACTGATTGTCAGAGTTCACTGATAAGAACAAATGCAGAAATAATTAAAAAATAGATAATTATTCCACTTATTAGTACAAATTTCAATAAGAAATTAGTTACTTTTTATACATCACACTTTTGTGTACATAGAAGATAATGCAGAAGATACAATAAACGATTGAAACAAATGTAAGACTGCACCAAAATTAAACCATGACAGGAAAAAATTACTTCAATTTCTAGAATTACAGTTTGCAATGGATTGTATTTATCATGTTAATTTACAGATACTTTAAAAATCCCTGCTTTGAAAATCCCTGGTTGAATTCATGAACCTAATGTAATGCAAACCCATAAAACATTTCTTTTCACATAAACCAAATGTAGAGTAAAACATTTAAGTTTTAAGTGTATAATGCAAAAAAAAGTTGGTAATTCTGGAATTGGTGTGTTTCTAGATTTTGAAACCACAATTCCATGCATCTCCAGTAAAACTTCTTTTGTTTTTTACTTTTTAATGCTTTATTCAGAGTTTAAAAAATTACAATTCTAAACATAGCAGAATCAGTTCAGTACAGTAACCAACCTAAGATGGGAATTGGTCCATCTCATCTAACATGAGTAACAGTGGCAAGCAAAAACTTCCTTTTAACAGGCAGAAACCATGGGTAGGACCAGACGCATGCTAGAGAGAGAGAGGGAGAGAGAGAGAGAGAGAGAAGTGGCGAGAGGGCAGGGGGAGAGAGAGAGAACAAGATAGAGGGAAGGAGAGAGAGAATGAGTAAGGGAGAGGGAAGGAGAGAGAGAGAGACAGGGGACAGCATATAATGATGAAAAAAATGAATTCAGTACACAGGGTTAGGATATGAGTATTTATGGACAATGTTAAATTGATTTAATGTGATTACAGTCAGCAGGCCTATTAGGAGTTAACTCTGGTTTTATGTTATTAATAGATGTTGTTCATAATTTTAAAGTGGATTTATTTTGTTTTGGGGGTGTATCGGGAATTTTAGAAACATTGTTCGTAGTTTGTTGGTTGATTCTTGATCAAATTTATGTGATAAATCCTTTTTGTTTTGTCTATCAGGGAATTCTCCATTAAAACTCATGGGAGCTGGGAGACGACGTAAAAAGAGGGGGTACGTGATTACGTCACACGCCGCGTTGGCCCGCAAATAGTGGTGAAAAGTTTTCAGACCCCCTCCCCTGTATGTTTTTGTTGGGGGAAAAGTTGTTGGAAGTTAGGTCGTGTGAATGTAGCCTCTCCGTCGTCTTTTTCCCCCCTCGGTAGCAGGAGGAATGCGAGTTTCTACTTCTCCAAAGTCGGACAGCGAGCTTTTTGTGCGGGCTTCGTTCGCTTCACGTCCTCTGGCTCGGGTAAAAAAATCTCAGCCTCGGCCGTCATCGTTTCACCTCTGCCGTCTCGTTAGCCTCGGAGCTAGCTGCGCCGCTAGCTAACTAACCCGACAAAGTTAACGCTACCTCGCCTCGGTGTGTCTCTTGTGGTGACTTCCAGAGACGAAGAAAAAACCCACCGTCGAGATGGCGGAAACAAAAATAATTTATCACATCGACGAGGAGGAGACGCCGTATTTGGTGAAGATACCTATAAGTGCCGAAAATATAACTCTGCTGGATTTTAAACAGGTCTTAAACAAGCCAAACTACAAATTCTTCTTCAAGTCTATGGACCAGGACTTCGGGTGAGCTAGTTTTTTTCTCTTCTTTGGCTCAGGGGACCTTTGTAATCTGCATACAAAATAAGAAAATGAAGTTTACAGCTTATGTAGTGAAGTAAAGTACTATATAAGTTGGAAACACACCTTTTAATGTGACTTTGATTTCCTCCACGTTACACCCAAAATACACAGCTTTTTACATGTAACTTTGACTACATGTATGTTTGCGTGTCAAATAAGTCATGCAATCCTATCTTGTGACTGGCTTTCACATATTGGTCACAGGAAAACTTGTGGTAAAGGGATAATGCGCTTCAAAAACCCATGCTACACATCTTAAATCACGGTTTTAATGACCTGTGATGAATATCAAGTGTTTCTATTAATACTAAGAGTGTGTAGGCAGGGACATTTCTCAGCAAACATCATCATTACAATAGGAGGCATTCCCTGTCCCTGCTGCTTTTCTTTACCCTAATCCTCCTGCCTCCCTCCCTCCCTCTCTCCCTCCTTCAGTCCATCATCTTGTGAAATCCTCGCCTTTTCTTTCAGCGAGGACTGAAGCCAGGGTTTTGTCTCCCCTCTTTAACACTTTGCCATCCTTTCATTCCCCCCAGCTTCCTCCCTTCCTTTCCCCCATTTTCACCCAGAAAAGAGCTGTCTCCTCTCCTCTATCAATTAATCTTTTTTTCTCTTTTTCCCCTGTGTGGCTGGCTGTGCTTTTTCCTGCAGAGGAATGCATGTTTGTGGTTTATTCACCCGGTGAGACCCTTAGGGCTCCTGTTAAATGCATTGTAGACTCAGATGAGTATTAAGGCTGGGCCATTTGCTTCCTTTTTTCTTTGGATGGCACCATCACAGTCTCTGCCAAGGGGGCTGCTGCAGTATCGACTCCAACATAAAAATGTAATGGATGTGATGGCTTTTCATCCGGCTTTGGCAGAGCTGGCAGACAGGAAGCAGCCCCTGTGGATGCATCATTGAAGTATGAACAGCAGAAACATCAAGAACTCTGTTGTAGAGACGTTTTTCTGAGAATATCTAAAAAGCGTTCCCTGGAATAGCTCCATAGGTGGTTGTATTGTTAAAAAACGACATCAAGAATATGCTTATTATTAATTTAATCATATAAATGGGTTATGACATGAGTGCAGTCCCCTGAATGAGGTGATCTACTGGCGTTTTGATGGTTTTATATGACTGTAAACAGTGCAGAGTCAGGTTCTGAAAACAATGACATCATATCAGGCTCTGGAAACTTTGATTCTGTCTGAAAGTTTGTGGACTCAGCTGTTGAACAATTTTCAACAAAAACAAACTTCAAAATTTATTTTCACTGATAAAAAAAAAAGACCATGAAGGATGAAAATAATCCCTTACACCCTCAAAGACATCGTAGTCATCATGAGACTTTTCCTCTTGGTGTGTTTCCACAACTTTTGAGTTTGTTCCCACTGAGAATATACCACAGGGCATCGAGTTGTAGTTCTTTTTGTTTTGGATAATCTAAACAATATTTCCAGGATTAAGTGTTTGGTCTCAAACATTGGGGACATTTAAATGAAGTTTAGCTTGGCAGTTAAATCATGTGCATCCTAAGCAGGTGGCTGAGGTCCAATCCGGGTCTACGGCACTTTGCCGACTGTTGCCCCCCGCTTCGCTTTCTCTCTCTCTCCCTCAGTTTGCTACCCTATCTTTGTCCATGTCTTTAACAAAGACACTTTAAAGCTCTTAATTTAAAGCTGCAGAACTGTTTTATTGGAAGTTGCCCAAACTAAAGAGGACTTTTATCCATGTCTTGTTGAAGCAAAACAGACTTTGACTCAATTCTTAATCACCACATATCCTCACTGTTGAGCCCAACCCCTTTGTTTTATGTTAACACGTCTAGGCATAGTGGTGTACGGATACAATGTTGCTCTGATATCGTATCGAATATCGGATTATATCCGCCTGCATCTAAAATCTCCAATATCAGCACTCCAATACAAGCAGTCCATTCCAGACTCCATCCAGCACCTCTATCTAGCAGCACCCAGATCCAGCATGCAGAGCCCACGTAATCACAACAACAGTGTGTACTAAGGTACTAACTTGTCATGCTCAAGTTTGTGCTAATATTGGATCAGTATCGGTATCGGCCAATATTGAAGGCTACAATCTCTGTATCGTATCGGAAGTAAAAAAAGTTGTATCGAGACACCCCTATCTAGGTGTAAGGCGGAGATACGTCTCCATATTGGGGACAAGACTTCCCGAAAAGTGCATATCAAATTACGAGAAAGATCACGTTTCAAGCAAAGAAATATTACAGGTATAATATATAATATATATAATATTGATGTAGACGGATAAAAGCTTATAAAGTTACCAATTGCAGATGTGGTCGTTCCTACTGTTAGAAAAGGCTGTTAAAGTGAGGCAACGATGGCACATGTGCACCAACGCTAGGGTTCAACATGTAGGCTATATGGAAGTATTTTGAAGTGTTGGGAATAGACAAGCATTGACAAAGCGAAGAAACTCTGCAGCGACCATCCAGAGATAAAGAAGCTTAATTAAAGTACAGTTGAATTAATTTCTCCTGATAACCAGCCTATTGTTTGATATACAGTGCTTAGCATAAAGTTCTGGGGGCAAAGCTACATTTTAGGTTCCATATCACCTTCATTTTCAATTTATGGTAGATAAAATGTTATGTTATACCAGTGGTTCTGAAGTCCAGTCCTCGAGCCCCCCCTGTCCTGCATGTTTTGGATGTTTCCCTGCTCCAACACACCTGATTCAAATGATCAGCTCGTTATTAAGCCATTACAGAGCTTGATAACGAGCTGATCATTTGAATCAGGTGTGTTATACTCAGCTTGTCCAAACTTTGGAAATTGTACTTTTGCTCATCTAGATTTTGAGTAATATAGTACTTTTAATAGGGGGTGTACTGACTTATATGCTGAGCACTGTACTTAGACTGGAACCTGTATCAGTGTCAGCCAAATGTGAATTTGAAAATCTCTGCATATTGGAAAAAAACTGATATCATGCATACATCCCAGTGTTCTCTCAGTCAACAGGATTTTGAAATGACTTAAATCTTTTTTATTTCGTTGTAAAGAAGACCTCGTCTTTCTTGGTATGGAGTTAACCTGTTACACAGATTGTGACTCTTTAACAAACTTTTGATTCTGCTTTAAATGTTTTCTTTTTCAATCCTAGACGTTCAGTAATGTGTCTGCTGCCTGCTTACGACTCTGCCAAATACTTTCATGCAGTCATGTAAGGAATGTATTCCAGACATACATGTTGGCACACAGAAGCCGTCATTGCGTGTGTCACTTTTTTTTCTGCTGTTATGCCGTGGAGAAAGATCTCACCATCAGCTCTTTTGATTCTAAGGAGTGAGTGGACGCTCAAAACGTCAGAGTGATGGTAAAAATGAGAAATGAGACTGAGGTTTGAACGTTAAACGGAGCAAAACGACCAAACTGATCATGTGAGAACAACACTCGCACAGTGATCTCTTATTTTACAGTCAAAAGCTCCCAGTCGATTACTTTGACTCCGCCGACCTCGCCACAACCATCAGCGTACTTTCCTGGTTGTTGTCAACAGTTTTTCCCCCCAAGTTACCGGAAAGGACATGATTGCATTTAGTGCGTGTAAAGCGAGCACGCCATGTTTGTTTTTTTTCCAAATGCAAGAAATCCTCTCCTGGAGAAAGCCACCCACTCAAACCTCATCCAGCCGAGCAAAGAGAGCCTTTCAAAGAAGGAAAAAGTCCCAACTCGTGAGCTTCAATCTCACAGCTCAGCATCCCACTCCCTCATCTGAATATCTCCGACTGAGTTGAGATGAAGAATTTCAAACATAGCTCCGAGTCAGCTGTCCAATCGACGCAGGGACTTTTTTCCTGCCCCCCCTCTTCCTCTCCCCCTCTCTCTGTCTCTCTTTGACCCAGGAGAGAAGTGTGTAATAGTGTGTGTTTTCATTTGCCCTGGTACGAGGCCAGCTGTCGACCTGAGCGAGCTGTGTGTGTGGCGGTGGGGGGAGATGCGTGGAGCTGAGCAAGGCCTGAGCCGGGGCTGCAAACCTGGGGCTGGACGGGGGCCAGTTGCTGGGTGTCTGGGGCGTCCACGGGGAGAAAAAGAGGGGTGGTGTTCGGTTGGAGTTATTAGATATTCTCCTGAGTATATGAGCTGTAAGGAAGATTAATTGTCAGAAAGGGGGTACTGTTTTGGGTTTCAGGAATTTAATGCTAGCAAGGGACCGTAAGAGAAAGGAAATGGGGGTTGAAGACTTCAGGTTTCAACTCCAGCATATTTCAGGCTTGTTTGCGCATTATTGGAGGCATTTTAGAGTGTGTGTGAACTGACTCTCGCCTGTATTCGCGTGTTTGTTTGGATGACCGAGGAATGAAGACAATTACACTCTCCGCAGAAGAATGCTGCATCTGTTCAGCCGCTGTCGAGGTGCATTTTCTCGCAGCATGTGAGGAGGACGGAAAAAGTTAATAAATCCAATCAGGGAGAAATGTGCTAGCGAACATTCAGTAGCTTTCGAAAAGCTGGACTTTAACAGCTCCCCACGAGTCCCCACAACAATCTGGCCGTATGCTAACACTCACCCACAAAACCGGCTCTCAACAGCTGCTTACCAAAGCCCGGCGGAGCCTGACCGAGTCTCACACACGGGGCACACAAAGCTGGAAAACATTTCAAGTCAAGTGTCCTCCGCGTAGCAGCGTCCACAGCGAACCAGCGTAATAAGATGTTGGCAGGCTGCTGGGGGGGAAATTACACAGCTGAAGGCGAATGTTTGCCTTTCTGACTAAACATGGAGGAAGAGCACAGAGGAGGGAGGGAGGGAGGATGAGCCAGACGGATGTGTTGTCTTTGAGGGGCTTTGGTCATGAGGACGCAGAGGCTCTTCAGTCTTGTCATGTGTATTGGATTTTCATTCATATTCAGTTTTCTATAACCGCCAACCACCAGTTTGGAGAGCCGACTTTATTTGAGCTCAGGGGGCCGCTCTATTACAGCAGCTTCGACTCCAATAATTCATTTTTGAGTGAAATATACTGTTTGGATTTTCTACGTCATCTGTGACCACAAGCCTCTACCTCATGGGCCTCATCCCTGCATGTATTTTAGTTATATAGTGCTTTTTAGGATACCCAACTAAGTCATAAAAGCACACATTAAAGGAAACGTAAAGAAATTAGATAAATAAAGAAATGGTTGAAACAATATCTTCAGTTCTGGAGAGACAGGGTCTTGAGCTGGGATTTGAATCTGGGTAGAGAACTCCAGAGGAAGGGGGTAGCAACAGAGAAGGTTCAGAACTTGGGGAGAGCATCCAAGGAGTGGAGATTGCGGAAAGGGTTTGGAGATGAAGCAGGTCAGTGAGATGTGGACGGCTTTGGAAGTTGGGAAGGGGACTTGAAGCTGAATAAGTTTGGGTAATGTGGTCAAGGGAGACAGAGGGAGGTGGTCAGTTGTGAGACAGAGATTTTTGGTGGTTTTGGTGATGGATTTGAGGCCGATGATGATGAAGAAGTCCAATCTGTCACAATTCAGGTGAAGGAAGTTGGTTCACATCCATTTTTTACACCTGGGAGGCTGTCAGTTGGTGTGGTATAGGTAGAGGAAGTGAAGGATTTGGTGTAAATGTAAACGTGGATGTGGTCAGCATAACAGTGAAAGTGAAGACCATGTTTGTGTATGATTTCACAGAGGTGGGAACCTATAGAGAATAAATATGAGAGGACCAAGCACTGAACCCTGAGGGACACCTTTGATAGAAGAGCAGTGGGGAAGAAACCATTAAAACATATAACTGTATACATTTTCACATGGTCAGGAAAGATTGTAAAATTTCATCAGGACTGAATTGAGAAAGTGAGCCTTTAGCACCCCATGGGTTTAGAAAAGGTTCCCCCCTTTTGTGTCTATTAACAGGTCGTTCATGCATTTGAATGAAGGACTCTGTTACCACCTAACTAACAGAACAGCTGATGACATTGTGCTGTTGAAGTTATATCCAGGTTTGATTTATGCAGAAATTTTTGTTTCCTTGAACTATTTTTAATGGACCTCAAGCTTCAAAGTCTTCAGTTTAAATAGATTGATTTTCCCACTTTAATAAAATCAGTGCCGTTTATTTGTTGGAGCTACTTGTGCAGTATTGAGTCTGTTTTTTTGCTGAGCGTGATGAGCTGCAGTCTCAGTCTCTTTCTTCTTCACATATTGTCTCTTAGTTTCTATTATAACAGGACACTGTGTCTGTTAGTGGAACTTTCTAGTGACTTGCAAGTTGATGAAAAGGAAGACTCCATCATAAAGAAACTCTTTCATTGCATATATTCTGCTTTCTGACTTTTTGATACAAAAAAAAAGAGCCATATTCTGAAACATGTTGACGTTTATCTCTTTTATGTCAGGGTATTAAATGAAACTAGATAAGCCAGTGTTTCAAAAACTACATGTAAACTTTTTGAACTCATTTGAAAACAAACTACATCTTTAAAAATGTCTGCAGTGTTGAACTATTGCTTAAACAAATCTGTAGGTTAAATCAAAATGATGGGAACTTGTGCTCAAAGTGCCTCAAAGAAAGGCTCATCATCTTAAACTTTACTTGAATGTCATTGAGTAAATAGGATTTCAAACATTGATGATACAATGTTGGTTTTCTTAGTGTATTTCTAAGCCGGACGTTTCAGTGTTAGCACATACATAACAAAGACTGATTAAATAACAAAAGTTCGACAGACGGTAGGTCATATCAGCTGTTACTGCTATTAAAAGTGTAAGTTGATAGGTTTCCAAAGTTAGACTTGTCTGTTGTCTGGATGGAGTTTAATTCCGCTTCACAGCTGGACAATCGCAAGTGTTTGTAGCTCCAAATGCTCGCCGTCCCGCTGGAGTTTCAGTATCAAGATGTCTGATGTAGTCGTGCAGTTGTTGTAGCGGTTGTTGTTACTGATTCATGAGCGCCCTCTGCTCCACGGCTTTAAATTTAAGAGGTTACACTTTAATCAGCAGCTATCCTTTGAGACATTTAACCTGAAACTTAAACTTCACTCTCTGGTTCAGATCCATTAAACCCCGTGTATCAGGTGTTATATCTAAATACAACAGGGGACCAAAAACAGTTTTAGATTTTGTCTGAATCAGTGTTGTCACTGTCACGGCATCATTATAGTGTGTGATGCACCAGCAGGGTAAACAGTGTCCTTGTGATTAGATATTAGGGCCTGACTGATTGAGATTTTTTGGGGCCGATGCCGATACCATTTTTTCTTTTCTTTACTTTTTTTTTTTTGGGGCACTATCTAGCAGTGCCTGGATCCAGCATGCAGAGCTCATGTAATCACGACAACAGTGTGTACTAAGGTATAACAAAGTACCAAGGTGTAGAAGTGATGTTCCCCATGTGGCAGTATTTTTTGTTGAATTCCAAAAAAGACATTACAGCCGAGTGAAAAACTTATCATGCAAAGTTTGTGCTAATATCGGATCAATATTGGTATTGCCCAATACTGAAGGCTACAATATCGATATTGTATCAGAAGTAAAAAAGTTGTATTGAGACATCCCCAGATAGAACTTTGATTTTGGTATTTACACTTTTTTTTTTCCTTCAAGAAAAGTTTTGACTTTGTAAAAAGTTGATCAAGAACAGATTCTGACGATTTTGCAAATGATAGAAACAATAAATGTAATTGTAATGTAATGCAAAAACATATAAAATGTTGGTATTTGATTTGGACTGAGGCAAATTGAAGTTGTTGGATGTTGTGTCCTTATTAATTCTGACCTTAAGCTGCAGGTTTTGGAGCAGTATATGCTGCTGTTTTTGTCAGGGAGGACTTTGCATGTTTCAGCAGGACAATGAAACTTTATTATTACAACAGTGTGGCTCCACAGAAGAAGAGTCTAGGAGCTGAATTTACCTTCCTGCCGCCCTCACGCACTGGAAACATTTGCACTCCGTAAAATCAAAAATATGACCTGAGCTGTTGAGCATCTGAACTCCTGTATCAGAGAAGAGCAGGACAACATTTCACTTTTATAACTTTACCCAGGAACTGGTGTCTTTGCTTCCCAAAGGTTTATAGACTAGCGTTGTTAAAAAAGGGGGTTCTGCTTGGCTCCGTTTCAGGGTCCTTTTGATTTGTTTGCCTGACACCATTTTGGATTATTTTAAGGAGATCGAGGTTAAAGAAGAAACAGGACAAAGGTTAACTTATTTTTTGTCTCTTTTTGTTTTCAGGGTGGTGAAGGAGGAGATTTCTGACGACAGCGCCAAGCTGCCATGTTTCAACGGCCGAGTGGTGTCCTGGGTAAGAACAGATCCACATGTTGCACATTTACAGTTGAAGTGGGAGTCGGAGGTTTCCAGATGTGGATTGTTGACCAGTGTAGCTCAATTCCCTTTAACGGTTTAGTGAAACAATCATAAAAATCAGAGGACATCGTCAGATAGAGGTCGTATCGTCACTCTGACTCTCTAGGTTTAGCTCTTGTGGGGTTTTTTTTGGTGACTGTTTGGTGAAAAATCTCCTGGAAAGTGAGGGAAACCTGAACCAGACTGACTCTGCGTCCAGGTCAAACAGAAAGAGAAGACTCACAAAGAACTCCTCCAGCTTCAGTCTGAGTCACCGCAGCCGACTGCTCAGACTGATTATTCAGATTGAGGAGCGTTTTTAAAACTATTCTCTACTCCTTTTTGTGTTAAACAGACGCCGATATGAAACCTTTTCCCATTTCCTCTTGAACCTGGAAACAATCTTATCATCAGAAATATTTCCTCTATTATCTCTAACCTTTACTTTTTAGTTTGTTTTTAAGGCCCGGGGGGCGTTTCTGCCCGTTTATTGTCTCTCCTGTTGAATTAATGCTGGAAAGTTGCCATTTAAAGAAGCAAAACTCAGGGAAAAAGTCAACAGTCTTCACATCAGTTCTGAGTTTTAAGCTTTAAGATCAGGAAAAGAAGTGGTGCAGCATGTTTACAAGTCCAGAACTTCATGCTTTTTCATTCCACGAGTGAAGATCCAGTCGTCGTCTCCCCCCCCCCCCAACTGCAGGTTACATTTGAGCGGAGACAAAACAGCATCGGGACAGGGGCCCACATAAGCAGGTTTTGAGGCCGGAGCATCTGTTAAGTGCATAAGAAGGAGGGCGAAGGATTTAAAAGCGAGGGGGAACAAAGCTCCGAGGCAGCAGAGGGACTGATATGTGATCTTCAGGCCAAGACGGAGGGATGGAGGGGATCCCAGAAGACGAATGCTTCATAGCTTTCAGTGGGGAGGGGACGCAGTAAAGAGCGTTTACATCACCCTGTGCAGGCTTTTTTATATGATTTCATACGTTTAAGCCAAATACGCCCATATCCCCTTCCTCGCCGCTCCTAAACTACATCTCGCCGTGTGTTTTAGCGTCGCGTGTAATTGGATGCTTCACGTCATTCATCCAAATTGTTGCTGTGTGTGTCTACGTGGCCACTTTTGTCGTATAATGAACGGAGACAGGTTAAGTGTAGGATAACGTTTCACTTTGCCCCAGAGACGTCCATTTGAAAAGAGTACAGTGTTTGTGTGTCAAAGCAATTGACATCTTAGCCGTTCCTCCTCCCTCCGTGTCCTTTTAGCCGAGTGTTTTCTCACCCTACCTTCTCGCAATTTGTCCAGCCTGTTTCGAGCCAATTTCTCTCTCAAGTCCCGATGTTTTTTTTCCCCTCCAGAGTTTTCCTTTTTCAGCTTCTCACCCCGATTCTTTCTTCTCTCTTTGTTTTTGCTAGCTCGTATCTTCAGACGCTCCCGCAGCAGAGCCCCCTGTAGCTGTGGTCCCCCCTGTGGAAACGATGACCCAGCCTTCGCCCCCTCCCCCGCCCCTCCCGCCCCCACCTGCAGAGAGGACAGGGGGCATCGGGGACTCCAGGCCGCCATCTTTCCAGTAAGCAAAGCATTTAAACTGACCATCACGAACACAAACCTGTAGCTTAGCATGTAGCATCCACTCATACTGTAATGTCGCTACTGTATATTTCCTGGTTATCTCACACTCCCGGTGTCACGTTACAACAAGAACAGCAGGAAAAGTGAAGCTCATTTCAACCTGATCTGGGCTGGTGACGCCCATGTTATTAACATGACCAGTTTCCACAGAGGCGGTTACAAACTTGACTGGACTACACAACATTACATCATAAGTTTAATCCTGACTTTTTCTAGGAATTTTCCCCGTTTAGTTTTGGGTTAAATTTGGGTAAACTCATGTGAAAATGTAGAGGGAATTTGGGGGAACAAAGCTAAGGTACGGTGGCCTGGAGGTGCAAAACACACAAAGACATTAACCATTGTGTTTTCTCTTTTTGTGTTGTGTTTTCTGATTTGTCGTTGTGTTTTGAAACTCAGGGCCACCGTACTAAAGAGAGTAAAGACTGGCAAAATTAAAGACCAGCATTTTCAGTCTTGGATTATTTAGTGATACATTGCTCTGTAGCTTTTATTTGATGTCATGTCTGGTCCTCTGAGGTCCCCTTCCCACACATACATCTGCGCCGTCCAACTAGGAAGACCTCATCCTGTGAGAGAACATGTGTGAACAGTGTTTGGGTCAAAGCTCCTGAAATCCTCTAGAAAAAAACAGCTTTGGTCTATTTTTGTCCTCATTTCATCAAAAGTTAAAGTCGGTTTTGGTTCTTTTCACTCACAGTTATGGCTGAACGATATAGCCTCAAATCAGTATCACGATATAATGAGCAGTTCAACTTGATGAATGGACGATAACGTCTCCACAAGCTGCTCACCTGTCTTTCCCTCTTTGTTACGAACTGGATGGGGTGGAGTCATGACTCTGATGTAGGACAGCATCTTAAAGGGAAATGAGATCATAGCCTACCTACAAACATCCAAAACCAACTTTGATTTATTAAATTTTTTGATGCCAAATATACCAATATGGGCAAAATGTCGTCAGTTATTATAGTAAATTTCTGTATCTGTAAATTTTCAGTTTATCGCCCAGCCCTACTCACAGTGATTGTTTTTTCATCACAGACATTTAGAGGTATTTAGGGACTGTGCAGGACTTCAGAATCCCAAATCAAATCCCTATAAAAGATTAAAAATACAGAAATGTCAACCTTCTGGAAAACTGTACATAAATGCTGTCAGGACTTGATCGAGGCTCCTTTTGCACAAATCACTGCATGAATGCGACGCAGCTTGGAGTAGGGCTGGACGATAAAATGAAAATTTACTGATACCGAAATTTATGACAGTAACTGACGTCATTTTGCCCAAATCGGTTCATTTGGTGTCAAAAAAATAAATAAATCAAAGTTGGTTTTGGATGTGTGTAGGTAGGCTATGGTCTCATGTCCCTTTAGGACACTGTCCTACATCAGAGACGTGACTCCACCCCATCCAGTCCGTAACAAAGAGGGAAAGACAGGAGAGGAGATGGAGGACGGTTCAAAAGTTGATGAAGTTAATGTGGGAGGGGGTGAGCAGCTTGTGGAGTAGTTATCGTCCATTCATCATCATCGAGGTGAACTGCTCAATATATCATGATGTTGATTTGAGGCCATAATGCCCAGCCCTATTTGGAGGCCGTCAGTCTGTGTATCTGCTGGAGTGTTATGTAGGCCATGGTACTCTGGTGTCTCTGGTCAGCAAACCAGTCTCTGGTAGTTTTGGTGTCGTGTGAAGGTTTCAGGATCGCTGTGTCTTCATAAACCCTCTGAGCAGATGGAATCTTGACGGTCTCTGAAATCCTCCTCTGGAGCTGCAGCTGTATGAGCTGTCAGAGGAAACATGTGCTTCTTTGGATCTGTGTTCATGCAGCCTTATAAATGCCATTTAAAATTCACTCGCCCCAATAAAAACTGTCCTTCATGTTCCCCAGCTGGTTGCACTCTTGATCATTATATATTTATCATTAAACTGAATATATCTGCAGACTGGCTTTTATGGGTGGGTCACTTCAAATATCCTCTTCAGATCAGGGATTTGATCGATTGAAACCACCTGGCAGCCGAGTTTAAGGAAACCGTAGCTTCTTAACGTCACTCTGGTTTTCTTCAAGTCGCCTCGCGGTCCCTTGAAATCTGGTTTCAGGGTCAATTTGAGTTCAAAGCTGTCAGTCCTCCTCTTCCACCGCAGCGTGTTCATTTATTTCTCATGTTGAGGCTTCGTCTCGTCTGCCTCCTCTGGCTGCAGGACGGCGGCCTGATGGTTTCTGAGTCCAGTTTCAAATTAAACAATTTCTAAGAAGTCTGTGGTTTTTACAGTTGGTGGAGAGCTAATCCAGGTCCGCTCTGTCTTCCAGCGCTGGATTTGGAGCTTCATCAACGCTGCTGGAAATTAAAATCGTACAGTAGTCTCTCTCTTGAGATGAGCTTATGCGCTTATTTCTGCGTCCACACTTACATATTAGCAGCCCCAGGATGTGCAAGGGTCGGTCCAAAGTCAATCTCTGGGGTTTGGCACATGTTAGGCCTGCACGATATATCGTTTGAACATCGTCATCGCGATGTACGTGTATGGGATAGTCACATTGCAGAGCCTGCGATATTGGAGGTGAATGAACTAATTAATTTCAAGGGTAACTGACTGAGATACACTCCATGTGACTCTGCATGTGCTGTGCAGCGATCCACCAATCACCTTCGTCCTTGACTCAGTTGCCAATCAGACTCACTTCTCAGTTGCCAATCAGACTACCCTGCCAGCTGTCAATCAAAATCAGAGAGGAGGAAACCCACCCCTGCACATGTTCTGCACATGGAGGGAGACGTGTGTCCGCTGAGAATTACTTTCGGAACTCTACTCATGACTGTTTAGCCCAACAAATAAGAACTGTATGGGTTTTAAATTGTACATTTCCGTGGACCACTCTACTATAAGCGGTGTGCGTTTTGCGAGGTGCATGCAATTCTCCGAGGACATGCGTTTCTCGGCACAACACCGCTAACAACAACAACAACGATCGCAAAATGAGCAACGAACAAGAGAAAACCACAGAAGGTGAAGATTTGTTGCCAAAAAGAAAAGGAAAGTCAGTTATCTGGAATTATTTCGGTTACAAGATGGATAATGTCGACCAAAACACGTCTTCTGTGTTCATCTGTCGCCACAATAACGTCCCAGCACAATAAAAGCTAAAAATATCTCTAAGACAGACAGAAGCTGTTCTGCTAACATTCACAAAAAGAGGTAAGATCAGAGCAGATTAACTGTCCTCAAGATTTCAGCAGTGCAGCATAACATTCAATGCTATTCAGGTCATCTGGTGAAAATTCCTGTATTTTTAATATCGCAATATATATCGCAGGGTTGAAAAAAATCGCAATGTTAGTTTTTTCCAATATCGTGCAGCCTTATCACACGTGATACTGTGTGCTGTGCCAGGGATGAATCAATGTTTTAATTGAGTCAGAAAAGGATAAATCCAGCCCGCCAAATGCGATTAAGTGTCGACAGTTCAAAGGATGATCCAGTTTTTCCAGCCTGCTCCATGATTTTCAAGCTGCTAAATAATCAATGTAACCCATAAAACAGAGGCTGTTTCATGTCGACACAATCAAACAGATACTAGACTGTATGTGTTCCCTTCATGGAGGGTTATTTTCAGTTTAAAGCGTACTTTGAGGTGATTTATGTGACTCTCGTACCTGGAAAAACCATCACAAACATCGCTCCGGCGTTAAGATGTTAAAATCGGATGTCGTTTTGTGATCACGCTCTAATTCCTCTTCTCTTTTAGTCCCAACGCTACAGGCAGCGTGGAGACGCTGGACGAGCAGACTGAGACCGAGTCTGTCGTGTCCTTCAGGAGAGAGAGGCCGCGGCACAGAGAGAGCATGGAGCAGCACGGTGAGAAACAGCAGATCACAGAGAGAAAGTCCTGTTTTTATGACTGTTAGCCATCAAGATGTGGCGCGCCGCCAACACCCAAACAACGAGCGTGATGTGATATAAATCAAGGAATGCGGAGAGAGGAGGAATGTTTGTGATCTATAGGGAAACAAAAGCAAACAGAGGCTTGAGCAAACATGACAAATTCATGGGGAATAACCGGGGATTCTTCGCCGCTGTCTCAGGGCCGCGGATGAACGGTCAGAGCCGGCTGGAGCGCCACCTGGCGGGCTACGAGAGCTCCAGCACGGTGATGAGCAGCGAGCTGGAGACCACCAGCTTCTGCGACTCGGAGGACGACGACACCATGAGCAGGTAAGAGGAGGAAATGGACGCTCGAGTTTTTTACCGAATGTTCTACCGATTACTCGAGTAATTGGACCCAAACGGCAGACTTGCATAAAGTTAGATTTCCTATAGCCAGATTCAGAGAAATAGAGGACAATCACGGAACAAACATGTGAGTTAGCGGATTGCAATGCTCATAAGGAAGCTAATTATGATATTAACTTTCATCATGCCCCTAAAGACATTAGTGTACGAGAGCTGAATCGCTCCGATGTTACCTGCTTCTGCTACGACACAAGCAATGTTAGGCTACAAGCTAGTGTGAAGAGAAGTGTGCAGAGTCGCTACGTTGGCAACGCTGCAAGAAAATCCCCTCTCATCGTTTATTTTTCCGCTCCGCAAAACCTAAACAGCGCTTACTCCTCCTTCTACCGTGGCGACATAAGCGCATTGTGTCACCTTCAAAAGAATCCGTGTGAAACAGTGACGATTTGAGCTTATAAACGAGAACTGGAGGCAGGGAAAATTCCTTGATCATTATTTGTAATGGAGGTACTTGAGGTATTCGAGGAATCGTTTCAGCCCTGCAGAGAACGTGAAGAAGTGATGGATGTTTCAGGGGTTGATATAAACTCGTATGGATGTGTGTTTTTGTCTGTTTCTTCTGTTTTTAAATGTAAACACTTAAAGGGAAGAGGATCAAATATGACTCTGAACTTCCACCCTTCATTCATTCTTTCATTCGCAGGTTCAGCAGCGCGACAGAGCAGAGCACGGCCTCAAGGCTTCTGAAACGACACCGCCGACGCAGGAAACAGCGCCCCCCACGGTTAGAGAGGGTAAGAACTGATGAACTCCTGCCTTTGTACTAACAATTTAACAAGTGGAAAGTTATTTAGATTCTTTGAAAGGGTATTTTCTTCATTTGAAACTTTCCTCCTGACTCCAGGCGTCGTCCTTCAGCAGCGTGACAGACTCCACGATGTCTCTGAACATCATCACCGTCACTCTGAACATGGGTCTGTAAACTCCAAATGCTTCCTCTGTAAACAGCCTGGATCAAATATTCCTCTTCTTTATTCATGATTGTCTGATTCCTTCTCGTCACAGAAAAGTACAACTTCCTCGGCATCAGCATCGTGGGTCAGAGCAACGAGCGGGGAGACGGAGGAATCTACATCGGCTCCATCATGAAGGGTGGAGCCGTGGCTGCAGATGGTCGGATCGAGCCTGGAGACATGCTGCTGCAGGTGAGGAAGATCACGCGCTCACTCCTGTCGTCCTCTAAATCCGTCAGTCTTCGTTTCATCCGTACTTGAACGTGTCAAACTTCTCCCTCTTTCAGGTCAACGACATCAACTTTGAGAACATGAGTAACGACGACGCCGTGCGGGTGTTGAGGGAGATCGTACACAAGCCGGGGTGAGCTCCTGTTCTCCTACTTTTCATTTCACCTTTTTGAAATGAAGTAGGAAGATGTCGTCATTAATCTCGCGTCTTTTCTCTCTCCAGGCCCATCATCCTCACAGTGGCCAAGTGCTGGGATCCTTCTCCTCAGGGTTACTTCACTCTGCCTCGCAGTACGTCCATCTCCTCTTCTGTTCGTCTCCTTGTTATGTTTTCGGTCTTCCTAACTCGTTTCTCTGCGTCTCCACAGATGAACCAATCCGACCCATTGACCCGGCTGCGTGGGTCAGTCACTCCGTGGCCATGACGGGGGCGTACCCTGCTTTTCCAGGCAGCTCCTCCCTCAGCACCATCACTTCCTCTTCTTCCGTCACCGAGACTGAACGTAAGCGCTCCTCCTCCTGAATCTGAATCCTCCACGTTTTCAAACCTGTCCTGGTTTCTTTGTCAGGCTGTCGTCTCTCCTTCCTCTTCCAAGTCTCGCTCTCTTTAAGCGCCGATGGCAGAAGAGTCCTTTCTCCTCTCTGTCTCTCTGCTTTTGTCTCTTTTGTTCTGTCTTGTGATAAACGATGTCTGCTGCACTCCTCCCTTTGATCCTCACCCCGTCTACACTCCCTCCGCTTCTGTCTTCGCAGGTTTCGATGACTTCAACCTATCGCTGCACTCCGACATGGCCTCCGTCGCCAAGGCCATGGCCTCGCCAGAGTCGGGTCTGGAGGTCAGAGACCGCATGTGGCTGAAAATCACCATCCCCAACGCTTTCCTCGGTGAGGCTGAGAACAGACAACACGAGGCTAACGATCTCTCCGAGCCTCAGAGGGCTTTAACAGGGCAGCCATTATGTTCCCTGAATTAAAACCGTGTGACTTGTTGGAGCGCGAGAACAAAAAAACATCTTGCTTGCATGTTTTGACAGGAAACATCTGTTAAATTGGAGTCACCTGTTACAGCTGCACAATGGCGTAAACTACAAGTTTGTCCCATTTGTGGTTTTCTTTTTGGTGTTTTTTAAAAAGCTCAACTCTGGCTCAGAAGCGACTATCCTGCTGATCCCTTTAAATCACGCTTCTCTCTCTCTTTCTCTCTTCTTTAACAGGCTCAGACGTTGTGGAGTGGCTCTTCCACCACATCGAGGGCTTCCAAGACCGCCGGGAAGCCAGAAAGTACGCCAGCAACCTGCTGAAGGCCGGGTTCATCCGACACACCGTCAACAAGATCACCTTCTCCGAACAGTGTTACTACGTGTTTGGAGATTTAAGCGACTGTGAGAACTGTGAGTAACAGGAAGTACGCTCAAATCCGACACAGACGGGGATCTTTGGATTGGATAGGAATAGGACAAACACTGCGGAAGTGTCCTTTAAATGTCCATTTTATTTCTCACTCCTCCTGTTTTCATCTCCTCTCTTCCATCTCCCGCTCAGACATGGCCAACCTGTCCCTGAATGACAACGACGGCTCCAGCGGGGCCTCAGACCAGGACACCCTGGCCCCTCTGCCCCTCCCTGGGGCCTCCCCCTGGCCCATGATGCACACCTTCCCCTACCAGCCGTACCCCACGCACCCTTTCTCCAGCCAGCCGCCTCCGTACCACGAACTCACCAGCTACAGCTACGCGCCCGGCAGCACGGGCAGCCAGCACAGCGAAGGTGACCCCCAGACCGAGATCACATGATCATGAATTACCAACTTAACAAGACAAAACAAAGACAATTGATTTTCACTCTAGGAAAAGTCTTGTTTAGATAGACGCAGCACGCAGAACGCCACAGGACACACTGTTAAGAGTGTTATTAGCAGAGTTACAAATGTCAAAGACATTTTTAATGAGCTTTCTTTGCTTCTGGAAAAAGAGCCAGGAGCTCTGGTTTCACTTTTCCTCGCTGTACTAAATTAGAGGATTACCTCCTTAGGGAGACTTTGACATTTTGAGTGTTGTGTTCACAAGCAATGTTGTGTAACATCAGCCCCTGAGACAACAGCGAACTGTGCTTGTAAGTAAAAGTACTTGATTCTGTGCTGTCGAGAGAATACAGTTTAATGTGTTCATAGGTAGCTATAAAACCATCAAAATAATCTCCCTACCTGCTCCTGAATGTGTAGTCACAAAGATTAAACACTCAAAATCACAGCTAAGTAGTAGAAATCAAAGCTCGCCAAACTCCTCCGACCTGTTTTCCTCTCATCTGACAGCATGTTTCTCTCTGCCTTCAGGGAGCCGGAGCAGTGGTTCGACAAGAAGCGAGGGTGAGCGTCGTCGCAGCACTAAAGGTCCAGGCAGTACCGTGGGCGGAGGAGAGAAATCCCCCTCTGGTGCGCCCGGAGAAGGAGGCGGGGGCGATTCACGCTCGGGCAGCGGCAGCGAATCAGAATATTCCACCCGCAGCAGCCTGCGGCGTGGCCACGGTTCAGCCGCCCCCAGTGAGCACAGCCACGCCTCCTCCCAGCGCTCGCATCACCATCGCATGCCCCAACCCCCCCACATGTCCCCCTACCCACCGGGCATCCTCCCGTACAACCCCATGATGGTGATGATGGTACCCCAGCACCCACACCCAGCTTTGGCCACCGCTCACTCTCTTCCTCACCCGCAGCAGATGGCCACAGCCCCCATGCATCCAGCTCTCCCCCCGCCTCCTTCCTCCACTCCAGGGGGGCCTCCTGGAGCACCGCCCACCCGTGACCTCGGCTCTGTACCGCCAGAGCTGACCGCATCACGCCAGTCCTTCCACCTGGCCATGGGGAACCCCAGCGAGTTCTTTGTAGACGTCATGTAGTTTCTCTGGGACCTCTCATGTGAAGGTAGCGTACGGTTCCCACTTGTTTTGACGAGGATCTGATGGTAGCTTTTGGAGCTCACAAGGGCCTTTCGGATTAAAGGTACTTGTTACAAAGATGGTGAGAACAGGGTTTAACATCGACAAAGAAAAGCAAGATGAAATAACTACACACTTTACGCAGGACATGTTCTGACTCAAAGTCTACCGCTATTACTGAAGTGATACCATCACTGAGGAAGGTACAGATATCAGCACAGAGACCAGATCTGACATCTGTACCAATACCAGTACCAATACTGGCAAAAATACACTAACGAATTCCAGTTTAACATTACCATCACCAATACCAGCACCGATACCACAACTGATACCACAGACATTACCAGTGGAGATACAAACAGTGCTGATATCAGTACAGTACCAATATCAGTACTGATATAGGCCCCAATACAAATCTGATACCAGTACTTACGTTAGTGTTGAGACCTGAACTGATCTAAGTACTAATATCAGCACTGATACCAGTGCCGATACTGGCAAAAATATGCTTAAAAATTCCAGTTTGACATTACCATCACCAATACCAGCACCAATACCACAACTACTACCACAAACATTACCAGCAGAGATACAAACAGTGCTGATATCAGTGCAGTACCAATATCAGTACTGATATAGGCCCCAATACAGATCTGATACCAGTACTTATGCTAGTGTTGAGACCTTAACTGATGTAAGTACTAATATCAGCATTGATACCAGAACCAATACTGGCAAAAAAAACAGGTATCAATGCCAGAACCAATAACTGGATCCAACACTGATACCAGTATAACGACCAGTGCAGATACTAGCACCGATACAGTAGTGGTATTAGTACATATAACAGTAAAGACTTGGGTACCAAATAGATCTACTGATATCAGCACCGATATTGGGATTGGTTCTATCAGTCAAACTAGTACCAAAACTAATACCGATACCAGTGCAAATACCAGGATTGATATAAGTACCGATATTAGTAATGACAATCGTACTGATACCAATAGTGTTGGCAGTACTTGATGTTATCACCAATGCTGGCACAGTAGACAATACCGATATCAGTTACTGACCCTGGTATCGGTACTAATACTGATATTGGTACAAATATCAGTAGTGTGGGTATTTTCTCTCAAAATTAAATCTGTTCTGGTTCATTTTTATGAGACTACAAGAAGCCTTTAAAAAAACAGTGGTAGTCATGGTAACTTTCAAAATGTCCGCCATCAGCCTGTTTTTTTGCTCTGCTACAAAGGTGCGTTCGTCATGTGATTTGTATCGGATTTGGTATTGGGAACATCTCAAATCTCAGCACAAAGATTGCTTCTTTTTTTCCAACATTCAAGTTTTGAGTGAAGAACTTAGAGCTGAGATCAGAACGGTCCTCACATCAGAAGTGTAATATTTCAGCTCCTTATACCACAGCGGTCCATCCAGGAGTCCCACGTTTTATCACCGCAGGGTGCCAGGTACAATGTGTACTTGAAAAGGGTACAATCCTGTAAACTTACCCAGATGATTGGGCCAGAATCCATTGCTGACTTTATGAGTGCCTTACTCTTTTTTACTTTTACAGATATTTCCACACTCCAGGTACATAAAAAAATGACTCTCTATGTTCCAACATTGTTTGACAATGAACTCCTCTGTATATATCTACTCCTCTCATGTAAATGCAACAACGCAGAACAGCTAATGTGTAAAGAAAATAGGTCCAAAAATGTCAGGTGAGCTGTGTTTAGTAATCACTGTTTAGGCCTAGTCGTCAATAACTCTAATGTAAGGTCTGGGGCTGCGGAGGTCTAACGGTACTAATCGGAGAAAAGACGGCGGTACTTTTTGATTACATGCAGTGTGTATCTTAAGTTACTGTGATCCAAATGCCCCAGCTCCCCATGCTTATTTTTTATGTTACTGACTTGCATTATTCACCCATTTCATTTTTTGTATGAGTGACTATATAAATCATGTATAACCAAACTATTAAGGTGCTAAATGAAGATTCAACATTTCATAAAGAAATGACCTTGACTGTGTCATGTTTGATTTCATATCGCCACCTTTGTTTGTGTATTTGAGAATAAATTTGATACTGACATTCTGCTCAGATCGCATTATTTCTGAGATCCGTCAGATCCGCACGCTCTCTAGATACTTATTTCATGCATGATGTGCTCAAGGAGGTGGTATTCTGTTTTTTTTTCATATTTTGAAAACAAGGTAAAATGTTGGACCTCAGTACTTTACATGAGCAAAGTTTTAGATTACAAGGTTCCCATGTGTCGAAGTAATCCCAAAATGGGATTTTGTGGGTGTTGTGAAGGGCTTGTACAAAAAGTAACGAGAATTTAACGAGATTAATATGAGATTTGCTCAAATTGTGACATTGCCGGAAAGTGAATCTCCTGAAAAGAAACACAACTTTGTCGCATGGCAACAGTGAAGGAGGCTCCCGGAATGCTGTGTATCTGCAAACTTCAGTAAACTGATTATACTTGATCAATTTTAGAAATTAGATTTAGAAAACTTCATCTTAAAAGGCAATATGTTTACAAAGCCATGAATGTAGCCATCAGGACATTTACAGAAACGCTCGCAGTACTTTGGCGCCCTCATGTGGCCACCTTAAGTAATGACATAAAGCACACAGTTTACAGCCAAAGTAAATAGGTTAATGTGTAGCTGTGTTTGTAAGAGGCAAAAAATAAGGTTTAACAGGATCTTAGTTTTCCAATGTGCTCGAGAGGAGTTTGCATCCATCCTCGGCACATTTACCAGCTCAAAAGACAAACTGGAAGGGGTCTGTTTCGTTGTATAAAGAAAAGACAACCTCATTGACTTTTTTTTTTTTTCACATGAAATATGAGGCAGAAACAAGGACAGTTCCTGGTTCAAGGTTAAAGTGATGGTGGATATAGTACAGGAAAAAAAGTAAAAACAAAAATGAACCTCATATAGGTGAGATTTTTCACAACTCCTTACCTCCCAAAATCTTGATTTCACCTGAAACTGCTTAATTTCCCAAAAGGAAAATCAAGTTGTATTTGGTCTAATTCAATCTAATGTGCTTTAAGTACTGTGATAACATGTAATCTGTTAACCTCGTCAAATATACTTTAATTACAAACTGATCTGTTGAAAACAGACTCAGTCAGATTACTTTTAATCTGATCATTTTTTAAGACTCCTCTGATTACTTGTAATCTGATGAATTTGTGGTTCAGTCCTTCGATAGGTTGGGATCTTATTACAGAGACATTTGGTTTCTTTAAGGTACAGTACTCTGAAAACTTCAAATCTGATCAGTTTGACAAAACTACTGTAGTTACTGTATTTTGATAAATTCAAGAAAAGTACTCTGGTTACTTATAATCAGATTAATTCACTGAAAGTACTGCGGTTGAATGCACTCTAGTTACTTTTAAAAAGGTACTGTAATCTGATTACTTTTACAAAAGTACCCAAGCGTTTAGAAAAAGTAAGACAGCATAGAAAGTTTACTTTTTCAACAGTTTTTTATATATTTATTTGCTTTCTTTATGTTTCAGAAACGGTTCATGTACAATGGTATTTAAAATATTCTGATTATAATCTTGTTGCAAAGAGTAAAATGATCCATTTACTTAAAATAAATTAGATCAAAGTTCTCTGATTACCTGACAGGCTTAAAAGTTAAACCATGTTTAGGTAAGATTTTACCTTGACTTCACGAAATGATGTCAAACCAGAATCAGATGACAGTTTTATTCCCCAGTGTGAGATAAAAATGTGACATTTTACAACTTTAAAGCTCATTGGTTTAAAAGTGCTTTTGTATCTTACGTCAAACAAACACAGACAGCTGATATCTTCCACAATCTTTTATGAAAACTACGTCAAATTTGGTGCAGCGTTATATTTCAATTGCATTGTTTTTATGCTCCCCTGTCTTGTTTTGGTCCATAAGGTGTCTGACTATATGCTGCAAATGTGTGAAAACCATCTCTACCATCCTGTCTAACTTACTTTCTCCCAGTTTATGACAGAGATGAAGAGTAAAACAGAGAATTTCTGAAGAGCCCTTTCAAAATAAAACTCAAAACAAAAACAACAACAACAACAGAGCACATTCCTGCAAACAGATACGCCTCTCTTTCTCTGCTCCGCCAAAAATAGGCACTACTGGCGCCTCCTCATCCCTGGCATCCACATCGTATCTACCACGGCCACCGACTACACCCGAAGAGGATCCACCTCCCTCCTGGCATGACCACAGTGGGTGGTGTGGACTTGGTGCTGCTGGAGAGCCTGACATGCAGGAGGAAGACAACACCCTCCCCTCTATGGGCAGCTATGACCGCTTTGACCCCTTCAACCAGTATGACTGCTACACCCTGGTGGCCGACCTGAGCCTGAACTGAGAGGAGAGGGTGGAGAGACTGTGGTGGTGGTGGTGGGGAGGATCTGCTCCAACATGGCGGCCCAGACAGCTTCTCCAGAGACCAGAGACACGACTAGAGTTTCTTTGCATGGTACAGTTTTACTGTACATTTGTGAAGGCAGTGACAAATGTACTCATGGTAAGTGGTTATTAGATGTGATTTGGAGCCAAAACAGTGACTTCCACTTTAGAGTCATGTCTGTTTTTAATAGTACAGGCCAAAATATCATAGCCATTCACTATTAGTTTTCAGCCTTGTCCCTTTTATTCAAATATTTCTCTAAATTCTTGAAATATTTTGTAGTATAGATGATTAAATCTTTCAATTCTTTTCCAATTTTTTGCTTTTTTATGATTTTTTGTTTTTGCACAGTTTTCAATTCAACAATTTGACAACCAAAACTGGTTTAACCAAGACTTTTTAGACTTTATAACTCTTGTATAAATAGTAGATAACTGTTAGAGACAGATTATGTGAGACAACAGACAATTTATTATTCTTATTCTTATTTTACGCAGACTACCCCCTTCTAAGGAATTAAGGTTGTGTGCAGATTTCTACTAAACACAATACTTTCTTCCTTTTCTTAGCAGACACACAAACATAAAGCGACCCCCCACAGATATTTTTTGTCTTCCAAACCACAAAAGTCCCAAAGAAATTAAAGAAACTGGCGTAAAAACGGGTTAAAACGCTCTAAAGGTTCAATTCTTCCATTTGTAATCAGGTAATGAGATCATGCAGCCACTAGAGGGCAGCCTGAGTCAACTTCTGTCTCCACTTTCCCCACACCGTGGTCTCCTATTTGTCTCTGCACGCAAACAATTCATAAGATCAGACAGAAAAACCTCTTTACAGGTTTAATTCTCTCCTCAGTTGCGTTTTACTTTAATTAAAAGGCTTTTGTTGTGCAATTTCTTCTTTCTTTCCGCTTTTACTTTCTGCCGTTCACTTTCTTTTAATGCGGATCAACAATGAAATAACCTATTATTTAAAAAAAGGAGTTAATTCCAGGGATAATAAGCTGGAAAAAAATCATTAATTCCTTCTTTTACACGTCTGAACTACAACAAATCTCAAAAGAGATTAGTCTGTAATTGCGCTTAAATCCACTCGCTCAAAACTTTATTATAAAATGTGTAGAAAGAATCAAAACACTGGACTGAATAACACATTAAAATTGACTCTTAGTTTATGTCAAACTCTTATTACACTACATGTGCTCATGTGTAGCTTCTAGACAAAAAAATACACAAAAGTGCGTGACAAATATCTTTTTTTTTTTGTCCTTTTCATCGTCTCGACACTCCTAAGACTTCAAACATGTAGAAATAAGTCCCTCTACAGTTGGGTAAAGCCAGGACAATGACTAAACTCCTCTGTCAGTGTATAATTATATAGCCACCACCTCCCACACTGACTCTTATTTTGTCAACTTAAGCTTAATTTCTGTTTGTGTCTATTTCCTGATGTCACATTAACAAGGACACTAATCTCACCTCTATATACTTCCTGCTTTAGGAACATCACGCAGCTTGTTTTGACTTGTTAAATGACTGGAGATACTCGTATACCTTTGAAACCGTGACATTTGTGCAGGGAAATACAGGTACCAATAAATATGGGATATAATTCATGTTTGATAAGTGGACCAGGTCTGTTTTATGGGTCTTACCAAAGGGAGAAAGCTTAGAAAGAAGTCAAACTTGTAGAAATATGAAAAAACTTACTAAAAGACTACAAAGACATAAGAGCTTAAGGTTATTTGTCACATTTAGCCTAAAATATACACATTACCGTTATGAATTCATTTCAAAAGAAGCAGTATTTGGACAAAAGATTGCTCTAAGAAAAGCAGTAAAAAAAGGAGTAAGGAGTAGAAGAGCACCACAAGCCTCAGGGTCCACTGCAGTACCAAATCCCATAAACAAAACAGCTTTTTTTATGTCAGGTCATGAAAGCAGCATGGGAAAATTAAATTACACCCAGCATAAAGGTCGAAGAATACTTGTACAGAAATGTAGAGAAAGTCGGCTTAGTGAGCGAGTTGACCCATGACAAGCAGGTGAAGAAAATACCGAGCGGGCTTCTCTGGGGATTTCTGAAACACAAACACATGATGTGGCATCAAAGTCAGTGAGGCAAACAGCAGAGCAGAGAGACCTCAGTCTGTACAGTAGAAACTCCAAATACTCGCTTATCAGCCTCCATCTGTCAGATAACATCTCATGAAAATACAGAACATACCAAATACAGGATTAAGTCATGATACTTCATTTTAAATTGGTCTTTTGAAAAGTTTTTAAGACCACTTTAGGGATACTACTATGAATTTCCCTACTGTGCTGCTTATTTTTACATTTAAGTGGTTAAATTTTAGTCACTTTAATGTCATATTTACACCAGAGGAGGCAGAAAAAAAGAGATTTGGGGAAGAAAGTTGTAAATTTGTGGAAATCTGTAAAAATAAAGTTTTAACATGACAAAAATACAGTCGTAAATTTACAGGAATTTACTCGAAAATTCTCTCCTGTCTCGCTATTGGCTTCCTCTTAAATTTAAAATCCTGTTCATCACACACACACGCACAGTCTTGACCACCTTGTTCCACGCCGATCATTTAACCTTGGCCTTCTTTCTGTCCTCTGCTTAAAGTGCAACACAGAAGGTGACAGTGCAGTTGCTGTATACTAACCCCCTTCCTCTGGAGTCAGCTCCCGCAGTCCTTTAGATCCTCTGAACCTGTATCCTGCTCCGAGAAGCTCCTCAAAACTAATCCGTCTAGCTCTAAAGTTGTTTTTCTCAGTTTGATTTACTAGTTTTTGTAAATGTAATTTTGATTTTACTTGTTTACTTACTTAGTTTTGCAACTAGTTTGTCTTCAGCTTTTGAGTGTAACTTCACAAGATGATCCTAATTTTTTGAGCAAGCATGGCTGCCCTCCTGACATCCTCCAATGTGTCACTTCAACCTATGTTCTTCCTCATAGAACTACGGTTTTCTCTTATGTGGTTACAACTCCATTCTTGTAAATTTTTTAGACTTAAAGCTCCCGTGAGGAACTTTTGGTCTAAGTCAGTTTTGGCGCCCCCTGTGGACAAAGCAGTCTTTATTTTTTTATCCTTTATGTGCTTAGGTAGTTAAACAAATGTCATCCTAAAGACTTTTGACTGTCTATTGTGTAATTTATTACAAATTTACTTAAACCCTTTTGTTGTACTATCTCTTAACGCTCATTGTGAGTAGATAAAAGTCTTTGTACTGGTAACTCTCTGCCATTACTGGTGGCTTTTCTGCAACATCCAAAGAGTTTTGGGGATAAATATTCATTTAAATATGTAGATAAAATAAATACATCAATCAGACAAAAGTTGCCCTGTTTCTGAGCATGTTAACCTGCTTTAAAAATGTGTAATCTGACAGTAATCCTCCGCTATCTCTCAGCAGTATAAAGGGTCTGAAGTCTAAGCCAAACCAACCACTGTCTCCATACGTCTGAGGGTCTGACTGCTTTTCTTTGTCACATGCTCTTTAAATGTGAACATACGACACTCCCACGTAGGATTGACCCTGTTTGCTTTTCTGGGACCGGTTCCTCGAATCGCCCATGTCAGGTGGGGTGCCGGGTCACCAATTACTCGGTGAGGCTGAGAAAGTCTCATAGAGCTGCCCCGAGCTGCCATGTTGTGTTAGCATCATGCTGCTGGAGAGGAGGTAAGAAACGCCTCATTTCAGCTCAGTGAAGCTGCTCCTCATTCTCAGAGGAGCTTTAATGTCGCGCTTCAGGATCAGTTTGTAACCATGACTATTTATGAATGCTCTGGTCAGCATATTCCTGTAGGCTTTTTGGGTTTTTTGTATTTTCTTGTTTTAGTTTTTGAGCTAAATGCATATAGCTGTCATGGATTTCTATTTTTCACAATTTCAGATTTTCTTTTTTTCACCAAACTAAGATTTGCATTTTGAGACAGAGAGATATACTGGATCATGATTTAAAGAAGCAAGCAATTCATATATTCTATAGAAATAAAGGAAAAGGTTAAAAAGTCAATTTTCTGTGAGAAAAATACAAAAGGAATAAAATCGAGCAAGATTCATAGATGCAAACGCAAACCAAATCATTGCGGGCAAAAGAGGAATAAAGAAGAAAATTCACACACAAGTATCTTGCATAATCTTGAGTAGCAGTTTTAAGCATACCATCTTGTTTTCTGCTGTTTTAGGTCAAAACACTTGAGCAACTACAAGCGCCAGTTTAGGGATCTTTCTTTTCCCACTAATTAAAAACATTCCCTTGAGGACAAGAAAGGACTTTTAGGGCCTGTTTCCACTGACAGCATCTACCAGAGCACTTCCCGTCAGTGCCTTCTGTCACCAGGTTATAAAAGTTTTCTTGTGACACTTCTACATTGTTTTGTATACTTCCTTTTTTCTTAAATTCATGCTTTTTGATTGCTTGTTTGACATGTTTTTTTCATTGCATGCTTTTGAACATAACTTAATCTGTGCTGTCTGCATCAGGGCCTGTGTCCACTCATGACACTTTTGCACTAGAAATGTTGAACCTTAAACCAGATTGTTTTTTTTTAACAGGAAGTAGGTACCACCACTGAAAAACTAAACTCAAATAAATAAAATAAACATAGATAATAATAGATGCTGTTAGTGGACACAGGCCCTAATGCTTTGCTGTCAATGTGATGGTATTTTCCGCTTGCTTGTCCATTTTCAGAATGTGGTTCTCAAATATTTATCTATTTTTTTGGTTTTGGAAATCCACAAGGTGCATTTGTAGAACTTTTTCGGATACCATGTCATGAATATTTGGCATGTCTATCTAGTAGGATGTGATTCTGAGCATTCAACAAATTAACATGTAGCAACAAAGAGGCAGAGAGGAGTCTGCTTTGACAACCAAGAAACCTAAATGAGAAAAATAGCGCAAAATCATCATTTATTCAAACAGTTCAACAGAAATCCTGTTGCACACTTCAAACATCTCAAGCTGCAGTTGTCTTTGGGGATATTTCCATTTCATGACTCTTCCGGGAGATACTCACTGGGCCCTGCCAAACTCCCATAATTGCAAAAACAGCATTTCATTTCCTAATAATGGCTCAATGTCAAGTCCAATTCAGTCTGCTTGTTAAGCGGCGGCAATTACCAGAACGTACATGTGCAGACAACTCCTCCGGTGGGTGATAATAAGCTACTTTCTTTGTTACAGACCCTGAACAAACTCGAGGGGGGAACACGTGAAGCAAAGATAATGCGGGCAGTCGAGCATGAGTGTATACAAAACCCCACCAATCGTTCTTGTAGAAAAGCCCTGAGCTGTGACAAAAGCTGGTCCAACTGGGTTAAGGTGATTCCACTTTAATAGTGTGGGGATCTCTAACCACAACAGAATGTAACAATGGAAAATACAGCTGCTCGTTTGTGAAAGTCACTTCCTTTTGAAAATAAGAGTTAGCGTCCGGGCTGATTGACTAGCCGTGTTTATGAACCTGGGAGGTACGTTGGGGATTGAAGGATTTCTTTGTTGCGTGTTTCTGTTGCTGTATTTGGGGTTTCTTCTTCAGCGTGACGGTCAGAGGTCACTGTACAACAAGGCCACACAAGGCTTTAATTTGACCTGCAGGATCAGAGGAAGAATCATGTTTGTTGTCATGTACTTCTTCAGTTTGATTGTGTTCATTTGTTTTCATGTATTGCTGAAACGCTCCAATACTCGCCAATGCAGAGAGATCAAAGGGGAGACATGTTGTTATGGACTTTGTCAAACTGAGGGCCTTAGCCCACTGGAATACAAGCGAAAAAAAATCCTCTAAACAGCTAGCTTGCTAATTTATGCTAACGGCTATGCTATGCTGGCATAGCAACAGTGCAAGATAAAAAGTCAAGGAATCATTGAATTCGCTTAAACTCACTCTGAAAGGATTATATTTGTGCCAAAAAAAAACCCAATTTAAACAACAAGGCTGTGTCCAAAATGAATCACTCAATCCCTAACCCCTGCCCCCATATGGGGTTTCACTATATAGCTGACTATGTAGTAAGCTCAATCACCAGAGGTTTCGGACACTACATGGCAATGTACATGGCAAGATGGAATGCATGATGGGATGCCCACCACCGTTGAGTGACCATCCAATGGTCACTACATTTTGCAATGCTCTATGGGAAATTTGAGTCGCCTATATGGGGCACTGGAATTGATCATTCAGGTTTCGGACACCCCTCAAAATGGCGCTAACCCCCATATAGTCGCCTATATAGGGGTAAGGGATCAATTATGGACACAGCCAAGAGTTAACGTCAACAGTGGTGTATTCAAAGGGGGGCAAGCGGGGTTACTGCCCTCCCTGGTGCCCTCTTTGATCCTTTTGTTGCAAATCTCAAGAGTCCACCCTCTGAGGTCAAAAAGAGTCCATCACAAGTTTCCTGGCAATACATCTTCCATTTAAATAGAGTTGAATACTTAAATGGTCTAATTAGCCATTAAGCTAGCAATAAAACAATTTAGCTAGCATGGCGAAAGAAGTTAATCCTACATAGTTAACACATTCATGCTCATTTTAGATGAAAGATGCTAGTTTGTGATTATTTTCAACAAATGTCACCAAAATAAATAAAGAAAGCTTTTTGGGAATTTGCATTTGCTAGCTTGTTTGTTAGCAGCAGCATGCTACTTTTGTAGTTTGAGTTTTAACTCATACAGTGGTTTTAATGTCTTTACAGATACTGTAAACATGCATCCTTTGCAACTACTTTTACTTAAAAAAAGAGTTAGGAACACACCTCATTCTTTGGTTTTCACTCACTCTTTGTCTTTAAAATAGAGCTATCAGTTACAGCGATCCTTGTTCTTGCTGCATCCACAGAACTAAACCGATCTCCTACAGCATGTCTCCAGTTAAACTCCACACAAATGGTTCGTATTCAGGCGAGATAGGATGATGTATTAGATGTGGTTGATCCAAGCCCATATGGTGATTTATTGCTGGATCTAAATTCACCACCTTGTCTTATTGAATTCCCCTGACGTGAATAGAAACAGACTTAGTTTGTGTTGTAAAGATTCACTCTGACAGGTACTGAAACATTAGAGTGACTAATGCCGGACAACAGAAGAAAAATGCAGATGAAGAAAAATGTGATAATTTGCCTGTCTGTAGGAACTTTTCATGCCTGAGCTCAGACATGCTGTAAAGAATGTAGCTGTGAACAGTTCTACATTTTGGGCAAAGTTCTGACTGATAAAATAAAGTTTGAGTGTAAATACTGATGCTGGTGAGCACCTTATTTGTTCTTATTTGTTTGTGTGTTAATTAAACCCCAATATACAAATACTGATATATGATAAATACATCCGTGAGTGAATAATGGGGGTAACTGCACCGATTTTTAACACTTAAAGCACAGGTTACAGTGGTACAAGAGGGGGGAAAAAGTAAGTTTCTTATTATGAAGAAAAAATGGAAACATGTCCATTCAGGGCTTCTGTAGTTAATAACGTAGTTAATGAAGCTCAAAATGTTGTAAATTTTACTATAAAAAAACCAAAAGATTTTAAGATATAGATATATGTCTGCATAGGGTGACCATAGTAGCTCTTTAATGCCTGAAACCACAAATTATTCACAAAAATTCACATTTTTTTTATAGTATATAAAAGTACTTATCAAATATGATACAAAAGGCAATAAAGGGTGTACATTTTACCATAAAAAGACAAATTACAATCCTAATTTGTTTTCTTTTTCAAACAATTTCAGAGTATACATTGATATTTAACTGTAAATAAAAGTATATCCTCTGTTTTATGTTATATAAAAAAAATGGCAGCTGTGAAACTTTATTTTGGTTACTTGTTTGGTTGGCACTTCCTGTTTGGCTACACCATACAGGAAGTCAAACAGCTTTCTGGGAAATTTCAAGATGGTGTGCATTTCAATGTGGGGTCTTTTCAGGGATTGTTTTGTCTGTCCTCCAACAACATGGGTAAGATGTTTTGTCTCTTCTTTGTCTTTTTAACAGCTTAGGTTTCTATTTGGAAAAATTTTTGGGTAAACATCAATATTTCGCTGTAAAAAAAGTATTTTTACCCGTTTTGTGTTATGAAAAAAAAATGGCCGCTGTGAAACTTTATTTTGGTTACTTGTTTGGTTGGCATTTCCTGTTTGGCCACACTTTACAGGAAGTCAAACCGTTTTGTGGGAAATTTCAAATGGTGTGCATTTCAATGTGGAGTCTTTTCAGGGATTGTTTTGTCTGTCCTCTAACAACATGGGTAAGATGTTTTGTCTCTTCTTTGTCTTTTTAACAGCTTGGTTATGTTTCTTTTAGCTGCTGTGTTTTGGTTGTACTTGTTAGCCTGTTAGCTAGCACACTGGGCCTGTTTGAGTGGCAGAGTGACTCAGCAGAAATCTGGTTTGATGTAAAGCATCAAACTTTGTTCTCCTTTGGTGAGGGTGTGTTCAGGTACTGACAGTAGCTGAAGCTTTTCCAGTTTATAAATATTAATGAGTGTTTTCTTCTACCTGGAGATAAATCTACTGTGTCAGATTGGAGGAGTGTTTTGGCACATTGTTGGGTGTTTTTTTTACTCTGCTGCCATATTGTGTGTCTTCACTCAGACTTTCTTATGAGAGTTCCTCACATTGACAAAGTGTTAAAACAATGACAGTTTATAAAAGTTTTGGTCTTGAAATTAGCAGCTTATACACTCAAAGTCCTGCAATGCAATGGAATGCCTATAGTCACTGTTTGACTGGTGATGTTTACAAAGACGAGTCACATCATTTCCTGGCAAAAGAAACTAAAAACTAAAGAAAAAACAAAAGTTAGTGAGAGTAAAGGAAACCAGGGACTGCTGCGACAGGCTCTGAAGATATAAGACCAAGACTAGTAGGCCAACAGTGCCCATACAGATCCCATTTTAGCTGTTCAATCGATTCTGCTCAGTTTTAACTTTTTATTCTTTTTCTTGACTTTTTCTGTCTTTCTTTTATTTTTTTTTGCGTTTTCTTACCACCACTTTAAATTCAAATTTTCATCAAAGTGACTTGGACATTGACCGCCTCAGAATATCTCAAGTAGCAGGGACATTTCCAGACTTCTGTCCCATAAAATGAACTGTAACTACTACTATTAAATTATGCCTTTGTGTAATCAAGCTTTTTCCAATTAAATAATACAACAATGGCACAACATATAAATCATAATTGTAATTTTTTAGGGTCTAAAACAGAGGAGGTATGTCCAAAGTCAAAAATGTACCAATAAGTTATTCTATTTTATTGCAATGGATGCGCAGTGTGTTGCTATGCAGTCCAGTATCTGAATTTAATATAAGCTTGTTTATCGTGTGACAACAGCCAATCATAGATTAAAATTTGGGGTGGCACCTGGGCTGACAAATCAGATTTCAGTTGGGGCTCATGCCACATCTTTGTTGTGAAACTGATACTTACATTTGATAAGATAACTTAAAAAGCACATTTCTTGTCATCTTTACAAAACCAAGAGTGACTGATCCTTTAACAAGTGCTGTTTGTGTAATGGCCATAACACAGATATGTTCTCTGTACTATTGTGCTCCGTTGTTATACAAAATATTTAAAAGAAATCATAAATCTACATTACTCCTGAATGCCTGGTTTGTCCATTAAAATTAATAAAGCGACTGTTTTGAGTTGACTCACATCCACTGTCCTGCAGCTGTAAATACCCAGCAGAGCACAAATCCACTTCTGAAAATAGTGCGGAACAATACACTCACTATTTAATTCTGTTGAGTCATCTGGAGTGTGCATCTGTTTCAGGAAATTATTTAGTCTTTCTCTAGGAAATAAATAAATTTGATTTGTGCAAACCTTATTGAGTGAATTTTAGGTCCAACAGGGACCTACTGAGAATAAATGGTTTGGTGTTTTTGAAGCAGGGGCATGCAAAGACTTTCTGACTGGTTTGGACTAATGCAGGGGTGGCACATGGACCAATTAATTACTCAATATTATTTTTAAAACTTATATCCTCACTAATGTCCCCATGCTTATCAAGCTCATTGGTTACTCTAAATAACATGTAGGCCTTGTAATAGGCTGGCAACTTGTTTAGGGTGTGCCCAACCACCACCTCTCACCGATTAACAGCTGCTATAGGCTCCACCCCCTGTGATGAAGATAATGAATGAATAACAAATAATGTTGTATAATCACACAGATGTTAAAGGGATATTCCGGTGTAAAATTAAGTTAGGGCCAAACACACTGTATCACCGAGTTAGACACCCCATTTAGAGATGACTGTTGCAGACCGCTTGCTTCTCTAGTTATACCAACTTTAGTAATGACCGAAGACAGCAATACAGAGAGCCACGTGCTCAACCAAAATGCCACTCTATAGCCACAAATAATACTCAGAACAGCACCTAACTTCATCACAGTACATATAGGGTCACAGCCACAGCACTAGCCACCAAACATCTTTTTAGCTTTACTTAATTTCTTTAACAAAGAGACTAAACACAACTCACCTACTCTCTTCAAGCAGCTGCTTGTTTGTACGGAGACCTCAAGCCAGTCCATTACAGACTACAGCGGGGGGACGCAGCTCAAGGAAGAACATATATGATCTTTGCCTCATAGAAATGCAATCAGACTGAGATGCTGAGGCAAAAGAACTACCACGTCTGCAGTGTAAAATGATTAATATGGTGATTATTACTTCAAGGAAATGATAAAGTAATGATCATAAATGTTCTTCCTTGAGCTGCATCCCCCCGCTGCAGTCGATGGACTCGCCTGAGGTCTCAAGCGGCTGCTGGAAGAGAGTGGGTGAGTTGTGTTTAGTCTCTTTGCTAAAGAGATCAGGCAAAGCTAAAAAGATGTTTGGTGGCTAGTGCTATCGCTAGGACCCCATATGTACTGTTGATGAAGTTAGGTGCTGTTCTGAACATTATTTGTGGCTATAGAGTGGCGTTTTGGTTGAGGTTTGTTTTTGGCACCTCAGACCGCCGTGTATTACTATCTGTGGTCGTTACTAAAGTTGGTATAACTAGAGAAGCAAGCGGTCGGCAACATTCATCTCTCAACAAGGTGTCTAACTCGGTGTTATAATGTGTTTGACCCTAACTTAATTTTACACCAGAATATCCCTTTAAATTTCGGAATACTGATAAATTAAAGCTCCTGTGCAGAACTTTTTGATTGTGTTGATTTTAGCACTGAAATGAGTTCGCCACTTAAATGGCAGCATTTAGATATGAATAAAGCTTCAAGCTGGCACCTTGGGTGGCCAATTAGCTCAGGGGACTGTGGCACCCCTGACTACCTCTCTGGACACACCCCTGCTTTGAAGAGTTTATTGAGCCAATACGTTTCTCTGTAAATGCTCTCTATTTCACTTTTGAATTACAGCGTCTATCCAGTAAATATGTTATCCTGTACTTGTGCATTTCTGCTTTTAAACAAACACTGGTGTGAGGAGTTATACCCCTGTCGCCGTGTCTTTTTAACCATTAGCACTAATTCCTTCTTGGCAAATTAAAGAGTGAAACCTAATGTTAGCATACTTAAAGTAACAGCAGGGGATCCTCCCTTGTGAGCTATTCTCAGCAAAGCCTAGTCTAGACGCTGCCGACTTTAAAGCCAGAATAAAACATAAAGCACAATTGAAATAAGTGTTCTTGATCTTAATGCACATTATCGCCGTGTCCCAGGGATAAAACACTTAAAAGTCAGTCATGGAGAAGAGAAAGCCCGAGGGCTCTTTAGGCTGGGTACATGTCCATGATGCACCCAGCTACTTTAGCTGTCATGCTGCAATATCTGGGAGCCCTCGCCGAGTGCAGTGATGCTTGGCTTAAGCCATTTAGCAGCGCCCTGGTTAACTGAAACCGACAAAACTTCTGATTCCAGCCTGATCTTAGAATAACACCCCTGGCGGTTGTGAAGCTGTCTTTGCCCATTTCATCCAGCTTGGTCCCACAACTGCATTTGTATCTGACAGAGATGCAGAAGAAGAAGAGGAGGATGCCGTATGATGTTACAACTGTTACCCAGAGAATTAAATTAAATGGAAAACGCTGCGATGAAAAAAGAGAAATGAGATCTGGCTGACAGCTGTAGAGAGGAAAGAGAGAGGGAGGGTGAGGCTTTAGCTTGGAGAGAGTGCCAGACTGGAGGGTGCAGGACATGAATAAAATAAGATGGCATTTGGCCACTTAAAGCCAATGGGCGTTCCAAAGGGTAAAGTGTTCGAGATTCCAGCTGAATATTTGCGAAAAGTTGCTCTTTGCTCAGAGTGTTTGCCCAGAATCACACAGAGCCACAACACAGGCTGATGAGATGTTTACAGCTGAGTAGAAATGTGAACACCGGCCATGTGAGGAGTCAAATTTGCTCATGACACCGTGTTAAATTTCACTGAACATTAAAGAATACAATGTTACAGAGTGTGGGGCTTAAAAACGGCTGCTAGTGCAACACATAACCTTAAAAATGTCAACAGATAGAGCTCAGTGGTGGAGGAGTATTTTCTTCCTGTAATTCACGTGATTACTCTGTCACTTGTTTTTTCTATTGTTGTTTTTTCTATGTGTTTGAGGCCCATATACAGGTGCAACATATTAACTTAAGCTATAAATCCTGTGTTTGTGGCATCTTTATGCAAGTCAAAACACGTTCAATAGGTAAATCAATCAAAATGAATAGTTTATGATGGCATTAAATACTTTAGCTGTATGGTCCAATCTAACTTGTATGCTACATGCTAGTAATGTTAGCTTGTATAGTATAGTGATTGTATTGGATTCCTCTGGTTTTTGAGACATTAGCTTTTCAAGGAGTCTAAACTTGAGCTCCCTTTGAACCTAATCTCATTACTTTACTTTGCAGGTACGGTCTGGTCAGTTTGCATGAAAAAAGGACCTAAAAAGACCAATTTTGTCACAAGTGGAGGCCAGTTTTCCTCTCTGGGAGTCAGACCAAGAGTGCGGTTCATCGAAAGAGGTTACAAACTGTGAGGAAGACCATGGAAACCAAGAAAACCCGTAAGTAGATGTCGAGACTGTTCATATTGGTTAACAGGCATACAATTAGGTTACAAGTAGAGTGGATTAGCATTGATTTGGATCCTGTTATGTTGACTAACAAAATCAGACAAGTCTTGAAACCAGGACTGCATTTAGATTTGCAGAAACAATCATGAAATTTTAGTTTTTTAAAGTACTAAATCATCTCACAAATAGCTTTCACGTTATGGTATTACCCTGCAAAATATAAAAATTGGTAATTTAATAGATGATTACCATCAATACTGGCCCTTCTTGAAAGCCATGGCTGATCAAACATGAAAGAAAAAGCAAAAACTCTAAAGACTTAAGGTGGATTTTATATTTTAATTAGTCGACTACTAATTTAAGATTTAAAACTATATGTATTTCCTCTAATGTTAAGGAACAAAAATTGCCTATACAAGTAGTACAGTAGTAGCTTAAAAGGTTGAAAATGAACATACTAGTATGCCAGACCAGCAGGGGGCGATAATGTGTAATTAGTCCATCAAAACAACCACCACAGAAGCTTGTTTTTGGGTGTCTAAATGAGCAAATCGCTATTATAAACAGTGTACACACTGGTGAACTGAACACTAGTGATTATTATACAGTATTTATTTACCCTGTAATATGATATAATGATGAAGTGAACCAATAGCGGCCATCTTGGCACATGCGCAACACATAACAAACGATCACAAGTTAAGACATCATAGTTTCCGTATTCCTTCGTTCCAGCTGTCCCCATGAATATAGATTAGACCGAGTTTTTAAAAATCTCCACGGGAAGCATTTTCCAAAACTCCCTTTCCGTGTGGACTCGGGCCCAGAACGAAGAGAAGATTCTGTGTTTTCAAACCGTGTTTCCGCTGATGTGTGGACGAGGCCTGAGCTTCAATCAACAACTCTGTCTCGTGGAATTTACATGACGCACAACTTGTGCGCAAACACAAATACATTTTGAAGGACCGGTTTTCATGCAGACCGGGTTTGTGATGACAAAGAGAGGAAATGATGAGGAATCGGGAAGCCCCAAACATACAAGTTTGCATGTTGTGCTCATGAGATATTTTTTAAGTTGGCTCGTGAAGCAGTTGCGTATGATCCTGTTTGCACATGAAAACTATCTTTCAGGGGTTCCTTTGTCTGTTTTTTAATTGTTTGTCCTGCCCGCCATCATGCCAGGTGCTCCTAGCAGCTTTATTAGACTGTGTTGTAGCATCAAGGTTAGAGGAAGTTCACTCTCTTATTTTTCCACCCTGATGTCTCGGTGTTCGCTGTAACATGCAGCAGATTTCAGACATCACCGTGCTGCACAGCACCCAGACAATCTGTAAAACAAATGCAGTTTGTGGAGGCCAGCATGTCGTCCCAGCATGCTCATGCTAACAAGTTAATTAAGCATAGTCCTGTGCACATGAACTTTAAGCTTGTATTAGTAGTCAAAAGAGATCTGCCGCTAGCTGCACCGAGCTAATTATGTGATGATAAATCTTCTATGGCATGAGGTAATTTCTCAGTGCTCTTTAAAGATAGTAGAGAATATGGCAGATAACTGCTTGAAGCCTTTGCGAGTCAGCGGCGGCTAAGCTAAATGTGGCAGCAAGTGTCAGGCCAAATCAATACACGCTTCCCAGGATTCCTTTGGTGCCATAATCCAGGCTGCGGTGGGCGCTGACCCTGGGGAGGCCCGGCCGCTTGTTTTCTTGCCCTGTTTTTTCAAAAGCAGTTGCACTTCTGGATATGACAGCATTGAGCACAAGCTAATTACCTTAAAAAAGCAGCCCAGTTTATGCTACAAACCACTTAGCTCCGATCTGAAACCTCTCGTCCTCACTCTGGGAAAGCTAGCTCGCCCTCAGGAGGGTTTATGTGCAGGAAAAATATGAAGGTGTTAAAAAAAAAAGCAGATGAGTTTGACTCAAAAGCGGTGTATTTTTTTTTTCTCACCGAGCTCCTGCGGCACATCGAGTCTTTCAGTGTCAAATAGTCCCTTCAGATACTGACTCTTGGTCAAATACTTCACCTCACCACTTCGTTCTTTGACTAGCATGAACTCTATTTTGCAGATATTTCTTTGAGAAAGGCCCCCAGTGTTTTCCAGCTGATTTCACAGATCCCATTAAGGTCATAATCTTGTATTATCTGCCTTAAAATAACAAGAGATAATCCTGGCATCAGGCTAATCAGCCATGAAATTGAGGAATCTCCTTGACTGGATTCCACTGCAGGAAAGCTTACACGTGATGTGCAGAGAGTGAAACAATTGCATAAAAAAAGAGGAGAGTGAGTCAGAAAAAAAAGGCACATTTTTGAAGTCATACTCTGTAAATAAAACCACGTCCCTAGTCCTCGATTCAACAGGACAGATAATTTCATCCAGGACGAGGAATTCTGAGATGTGTGGGGGAGGATTTCCAGAACATCTTTCCCTCGTAAGTGCTACTCACTTACTTAAGCCATCAGCCCCGGTCATTAAAAATGTAAAATTAACATCTTTAAAGTGGAACACGATTCTGTTCCTGTGCTCAGGAGGCAGTGAAGCGCGGCGGCTGCATATGAAATGCGTTCGGTCATCCCCCTGGCAACAGGGACGGGGAAGGTGCACTGAGTGAAACGAGAGCAGATTGCTTTTATTCTTTATTTAGCGAGTTATTCTAGACACTGAGTCACAGATGCCCCGCCATCATAAAAATCTTTCCTGCTCAATTGAGGCTGTCGGAGCGAAATGTTGACGGCCCGGGTCTCTGTGGGGAAGAATGAAAAGCAATCGTGGATTTTTCTTTCTCTCTAACATGTTTTTTCATTTGTAAATATGTCACAGAGTCAGGCTGCTGACATTATTTCCCTCCCGAGACAGTCAGGTAGCAGGAAACAGAAAAAAAACTGACACTATAACATAAATAGACTTGTTTGTCTTGATGTAACAAGGAAGAGGTTAGTAGCTTACACAGCAACTGGAGCGACTGTGTGTGGACTTAAATGTATTTATGAACAGGCAGGATGCTTCATGAAATATGCTCTTCTTCACACTAATGTTTGGCCTCCAGCCTGAATATCCTAACGCGTGTACGATGTGTGCGCTTCAGTGTGCTCCATATCGCCAATTGCCTACACAAACAGTGAATCCAGTTCATTCATGAAGCTTAAATTGTCATTGGTGTCCGGAGCGTCGCCCAGATTTATCACACATATACTGTCAGTGTGATGCTGATGTTGCTGTACAGAAACGTGTGAGACACTTAAAGGAATTAGAGTAAGTGTAGCCTTTAAGTTGGCTAACGCAGACTTATTTTCAAGCCTTACTAACAGCCCTGGGAATTTTCCAAAATAGAGAGCATCTCAAGAACTGTTGAATTTATCACTCTTTAAACATGTTAAACTGATTTTCACAGCACTGAGATCAGATTATTGATTCTACAAGTCCAATAACCCCACTAAGAACTTGTCATTTTTGTCCCCATGGTAATATGTAATTGATTGTACAAGAACTGAACATATGCAAAATGAAATACAAATTGTCTTGACCACATTAAAGGTCCTTACACACCAGGAATGATGATAGCATGTACTGAGTCGGGGCCAGTACCAGATAAGCACATTAAATTATAATCCATAAACGTAAGGTAACAACCAAGACCTAATGGTGCTGTGACAGCAACGCTGTGATTGAGTTTGAGACAGTGAAAATACATATGGTATGTTGTATCTGAACAGGTTAGCTTACAAGCTAAAGTTACTTAGCACAGATGAAAGTTAAAACAAAGACGTTTAGCAAACTGTTAAAGCAAACAAACCATCGTCATATGAGAAATCCAATGCTGTGACTCTCCACAAGTTGTCCTTCAGGTCTTTATCTTTGTAATATTTGTGTTTTTTATCAAAAAGCACTCTGTTCTCCGACACGTAAACAATCAGTTGGTCAGCCATGTTGGATATACCGGTGGATCGGATGTCGCAACAACACGAAATCTGATTGGTCAGAAGTGGACACACAGTATGCAAAACTTTAGAAAATTCGACCGTGATACGAAAAAACAAATGCCGCAATATCGCAGGACGGGAAAACATCGCTGATGTGAACACTTGTATTGACAGGATACGGGTTCGAGAAAAAATATTGGCGTTTGTGTAAGGACCATAAGACTTTGAGGAAAATAGCTACCAGCATGCAAACATGCTAAACTTTGTACTTGTTAGCATGTTAATGTTAACTTAAAGCTCCTGTAAGGAAATTTTGCCAGTTATAAAACACACTTGAAATAACATTGACACCGATTTATGAGCATAAGACTCAAAAACAAACATTGGGAAGAGGACTGATTATGTCTATATAGTACTTTAATCCTTGTAAACAATGTTGGTTCTATCTTTATCCCACAGCTAAACCTGAGTAATATACAGTGTCGGTGTTTAAAATTTAATTTTTGGATGTTTGTGTAATAAAATTAATCATGCCAATAGTATTATGCAAGTTTTATCTGTATATATTCTTATGTCATCAAGTATGTTGCTATCGTCTGGATTTAGCGTACAATGCTAGCAACAACAGGAGCTAATGGCTAAACAACTTTCTGACTTGTATCTAAAACACAAGCATTCACAGCTCTGTTAGCAAACACAAGTTGCACATGTATAAGACAAGATCAGTGAAGAAATATAAAGTACTGCTTGGTCCATAGGGGGCGCCAAAAAGCCAACTTTGACAGCTATCACTTTTGTAATGAAGGGAAAAATGGTCCAAGAACATAGTGAAACAGACTGGAATAAGATAATTTTGAGTCTAATTCCTCTGAAATTTTTCTTAATGATTATCTGATGACCAAACAGGTTGTGATTAATTTAATATTTTACAGCATTTCTGTTGTTTGGTAAAAAATTGCCGCTAAGTTGGTAAATGTGCTTGAATATCAACTTTATAAAATTTTGTTCGAATCTGCAATTAATATTTTTGTTATTAGATATTTATGAGTTTGACTTATTAGAATGTAGATCTGAAGTTCAGTATTGGTTTGATTGCAGCTTGTAATGTTATTGAAAGTTTAGACCAGAGTGACAGTAATATATCGTAAAATGCACGGCGCAAACTAGAAAGTTCGGACCACGATAACCACAATCTACTCCCATTAATAGTTGCCTCTTTGTGGCCTAACACACAGCAGATCTTTAACCCCTCATCAGCTGAACCTCCACACTTCATTACTGCTTCCTGAACAACAGCTTCCGACCGTGAAGTTTGGAAGGAACTACTTTCTCCCTGAGAATGTAAAGGCACGAATCATTTCCCCTTCTTGTCATCATCAATCATAATTACGCAACATTTTCTTCACCTTGGATCAATTTGTGCCATTGAGATCAAACAGCCGTGTTAATGGGCGCCCAGGTCTCCCTAAAGGTAATCTATATCATGTGGTGTTAGCGGTAGCCTTTTTAGCCTCAAGTGAGCGCACACTGTATATTGTTTCTCACTGAAACTGGTTTACCCTGCAGCTACGGTGTAAATATAGACTTTAGACTCATTTGTGTAGCTGATCACAATCCTAGTTGTTCTTTATAATGTGCAAATTGAAGCCTAAATAGTTGTATTAGCGAGTGAACACAACTCTGTCTGTCTTGTACCTTATAGAAGTAAAAAAATTGGGAACTTTCAGAACAAATATAGGGGATAATAAGTCTTGCATGATTGAGAGATCTGCTTTTTCTAAGAGGTCTTTCTCTTAATCGCAATTGACACTTGAGCGAGCTCTAATCATCATTGTTTCAGTCACAACACAAACTGGGTCTTCAAAGGTTTCACCCACGCTGCAATTATGCCAAATTACTCTCCCCATTTGGAGTCAGTCAGGGGCTCTGTTTTCAGCCCACTCAGCCTGTAAACAGGATGTTTCAAAATGTCATGAAACTTTGTGGAAAGAGCGGTCACGAGTAAGAAGAGAAATCAGATACCCGTCGTTCCAATAGGACTTAATTTGGTGGCGAAGAAGGCAAAGAGAATAAGTTCCATACAGATTTATGGAAAACCCTTTTGTTTTGTCTATCAGCGGGATTAAGAACATGCAAAGTCTGCATGAAAGGCGTCTTACAGATGGAACCAGGCTGAAAAGTCCTCTAAAGTTTTGTGAAATTACAGCTGGTGGCCTCGCATGATCGGGTGGCACTTACAGGGTAACTATTGGTACGATACAATAACACCCAACATGACATGACATGACAGGGCACCATAGGGTACAATATGACAGTATGATACCATAGAGTGCGACATGCCAAGTCATGATACGACACAACACAATACAATATGATTCAATGGGAAACAAATATAAAATAAGCGGATAAGATACAATACCACACAACATGATGGGATAGGACACAGTATGGTACAGTATGATATGATACAATAGTGTGCGACACCCCATGCAATATCTCGCTATGATACGACACGTTACAATATGTTACAATGGATTATGATACGATGCGATACGATCTGATATTATACGATAGGAAACTTTATGATGCCAGACAACATGACATGACAGGCCAGACCACCATAGAGTATAGTGCGTTACTACAGGAGACAATAGTGTATGACATGCCACACCTTGATTACTCAAAATACGTCATGACACGACAAGATACGAAATGCATGACACGACATGGCACAACACAACATAATATGATTATCGATGCATTAAACAGAGCCCATGATAACAGTAATTGATTCTGGGTAAATTGATGAACTACAAGGCGTTGATATGATAATGCATCATAATATCTGATCTACTGCAAAATACAACATATCCCCTAAATTATAAAGTGCAGGATTAACATCACTGGTGCCACTGTGAGAAGTCATGAAGAAGTGACATACTATAGAAACATACTATATTTTAATCTAGACATTTTTATTTGGCATCAACAGTGCAATAATTGTATTGAATAGTCCTGGACTGCCATACATAAACGATTATATGTTGCCTCACCTATACTTAAAACTGATTTTGCCTCGAAAAAACATGAAAGAAATAGATGAAACAAGCTTTAAAGCTCCAGTAAGGAGTTTTTAGACAGTCATGAAACAACCTGAAATCAGCACTTGATGCCTCTTTATGACCTAAAACAACAAAAAAGAATGTTAAAGAGATGCATGATGATTTCTATTTAGTTTAAAAATAACAAATAACAACAACAAATGGCATGGCATAGATTTTTAACCAAGTGAATTTCCCTTCGGGGATTAATAAAGTTCTTATTCTTATTCTTAACATCACACAGCTCGTTGAGTGTTTTCTCACAGCTAAGATAAAAACAAGTGATTCATTTTACTTTTCAAGAAAAGTAGATTAAAAGTTTACAGATTTTTAAAGTTTGGGAGCTTACACAACCAAATTTTGTGTAAGCTAACCAACAAGTTTTTTGTGCTCAAAAACAGAATCTTGACATCATCAGTCAGAAACACAAAATTCACTCAATGTCTACCAGCTCGCCATCTGAGTACCTAATGTTATCCCAAAGTGTTTTGGACTTTGTCATTTTACTTTCATTGTATTTTAGCATCATCGTTAAAGAGAGAGTCACGCATAGAAAACTCTTAAGGTCTATTGCTGCATTTCAGTTACCTCAGAAGTTGGATGTCAGAGCTGGGAATGACCGTACTGTTAGCCGTTGTTAGCTGTTGTTTACAATTGTCAGCTGCCGTTAGCCGTCATTAGCGGTTGTTAGTTGTTGTCAGTTGTTGTTAGCGATACCAGCGGTAAACAACGCATAACACAGTATCTTACTCTTACAAACACCATAGCACTATTTGTTCGCAAACACAAAACAGAAGTGCTAAAAATAATACATTACGAGAGCTTTTACTGTTACTCCTTACTGTTGATGCACTGCGTCGCCATCTTGTAATATAACGTTGTCGTCAAGTCAGGGTTGGTGAGGATCGTCCGACTTTCCGAGTCAGATATCCGACTTCAGGGGGTGTTCCAGATGAATTTCCGACTCGGACCTCAGAATTTCCAACTTCTGAGTACAACTGGAATGCAACATAAACCCCCACTTATAAACAGGTAAATTACTTGAGTTTTACAGTATAGAAATATATGAAAGCCCCAAACAAACCTGCAGTAGTGCTATAAAACAGTCTTATTAGTTCCCACATCTTGGTTAGACTTAATAAACGTTCAAAACATTTCATTAAAATGTGAAGTTAAGCCTCATTTCCTGCATAGCGTTTGGTAATTTAGTTGTTACGGTCTTCTTTCCTGCTGTGTTCAGGCAGAGCTGCCTTTAAAAACTTCTCTTTAGACTTTCACAACAAAACTTCAGGCGTCTTGTCTGAAAATTAAAGTTCTTACTGCACACATTTTTGTAAAGACAGCAGAAGATAAACAGCCAGGTTGAGTTAAGCGCGGGAGGTTTACCCGTATCAGCTTTGCCTGAGTTAGCACGAGACGAATCCCTCGGACATTCATCACATTTTCCCATTGGCACTGAACCACATGATAGCCTGACAGTGCTAGAGAGGCATTAGCATGTCTGTAGCCGGGAGACGTAATACTATATTGTTGGGAAATACGGTAAGACTCAGCCTGTAGCAGATGAAAGTCCAAGAGCCCGTCGTCGTTCCTTACATAATGTGTTTGTAGTTAGCATGCGGTGCTTGTTTCTCACCCTCGTGTACTGTAGTTTAAGCACCCTGTCACTTCAAACTAGCGTGATCTGACATTTTTCTGGGTGACTGCTGAGAATGCTAATGCCTTGGAAGTTGTATCCTGTGGCTCTTTTGGCTCAAATCAAAGCCAGAGAGGCACAAAGACGAGCCGGGCAGCAGCAGCAGCAGCAGTGCCCACACTCGAGACTGAAACGGTAATCTAATCCTTCGACAAGTTAGCTCGGGATCACAGAGAGGGAAATACAGGCCTGACAGACCAGACACTGTTCATTTTTCATCACTAATTAGAATCATTAAGCAGTCTGTATCAAAGAGAGGAAGGCTGTGAGGGATGGACGACAATCTGTGGAGTTAAAGTCAGAGGTTTGTACGTGTTTACACGCCGCTCAGAGGGGGTATCCGTTTGTTCGCAGCAGCGCTCAAAGTTGTGAATCCTCCTCCTTGTTTTATCAATTCTTTTAACCGTCTGAAACATTTGTCTTCCTAAAAGCAGAGACACGCATTACATCTGCAGAGCTGGAGATGAATGTGATATGAGAATGACAGCTGATGGCACCAAGCTGGTGTCTGCCTATGTCAATCTAGATCAGTGTCTGTCGACTGTTGGCGGATAAAAACCGCACGGCGTCTGATATGTAAATCACAAAACTCAGTCGCATCACCCGTTGGTTTCTGGAGAGGCTTTCTGAAAAACCAGAAACCTGCAGTGTTGTAAATAAAGCTGATGCCAAAGTGTGAAAGACTTGGCTGCTAAACCCAAAGAAACCCCATCAACAGCCACATTAACGCCTATTTATCCAGCAGAATTGAATATGTTTACAGCCTGGTGCAAGAATAGTTTTTGGTATGGAGCTTATTTTTTTATTTAGTTGGGGGTATTTTGATCAAGACTAAGATTTAAAGATAAAATTATGTAACTAGAGGCAGGGTTTAGTTATAACACAATGTACAGTTGTTTGACAGAAATGTCTTTTTGAACCAGGCTATAAAAATCTTCCATATTGCCTTAAAAATCTGCGTTTTACCATTGTACCTTCTTCTCTTCATCCACATGAGTGTATCACCATCCATCCATCCATCTTCTACCACTTATCCCGTTGGGGGGTCGTAAGAGGGCTCGAGCCTATCTCAGCATCTTAGGGTGAAGGCAGGGGACACCCTGGACAAGTCGCCAGTTCATCGCAGGGCTGAGTGTAACACTTAATAGCATTTAGAAAGTTACTGTGAAAAAGAAAAACTTCCTTTCAACAGGCAGAAACATCAAGCAGAACCAGACTCATGGTGGACAGTCATCTGCCGCCACTGCATTTGATTTAGCGATGAGATAGAGGGAGTGCAGAAAGAGAGAGAGAGATGAACTGAGACAAACAACAACAACAACAATGTTCTGAGATTTATAATAAATTCAGAACAATGTAGGGTTTTTTTAGGGGTGCTAAGTGCAGTTATTTTCATTCATTTTTACAACTTAAAGGGATATTCTGGCGTAAAATTAATTTAGTGTCAAACACACAGTAACACTGAGTTAGACACCCCCCCAAGAGATGAATGTTCTCTAGTTAAACAAACTTTAGTAACGACCGCACGATAGCAATACACAGCGGTCTGAGGAGCCATAAACAAACCTCAACCAAAACACCACTCTTTAGCTACAAATAATGCTCAGAACAGCACCTAACTTCATCAACAGTACATATAGGGTCCTAGCCACAGCACTAGCTACTAAACATCTTTTTAACTTTGCCTGATTTCTTTAGCTAAGAGACTAAACACAACTCACCTACTCTCTTTCAGCAGCCGCTTGTTTTGTAGCGAGACCTCAGGCCAGTCCATTACAGACTTCTGTGGGGTGACGCAGCTCAAGGTAGAGCATTTATGTTGATGAAGTTAGGTGCTGTTCTGAGTATTATTTGTGGCTATAAAGTGGCGTTTTGGTTGAGGTTTGTTTATGGCTCCTCAGACCGCTGTGTATTGCTATCGTGCGGTCGTTACTAAAGTTGGTATAACTAGAGAGGCAAGCGGTCGGCAACATTCATCTCTTGAGGGGGTGTCTAAATCGGTGTTGCGCTGTGTTTGACCCTAAATTAATATTATGTTGGAATATCCCTTTAAAACCCACCTGAAGTAACTTTTCAAAATACAACTTGTTTTAACTTCAACAGGCTTGTGCGGTTAGTTTTCTGGATGGAATGCAGCTCTGGAAAGCTGTTGCTTTTAAAATCTGTGTGACCACCAGAGGCCTGAGCTATGCACTCTGTGCTAAACAGTGAACCTTAAAGGATCATTACGTAAGATTTGTTCTTGTAATGTTAAGGCAGCATGTTCCAGTTTTCAAAAAAGGTCAAAGAAGTGGCTCCACAATCGTCTTTATTACATCTTTGCCCACTGTTGTTCTCCTGCACATGTTGAAAGTTAAAGTTTTCATGTTTCTGACTTTGTCCCCATCCTAGTTTAGCTTAATTTCACTTTAAATGTCACTCATTTAGTCTTAGATAAACAATCAAATCCACCCTAGAGCTGCAGAGAGAGGAAATTGCCCATAAAACTGTGGTTGCTGCCTCATAATTTCACCAGCTGACAATGAGGATTTGTTATTAATTCATCAGCTGCTGAATTATTTATGAGCCACCAAGCAAACTTTTGGGCCTCATACTCAGGATGCCACTTAAAAACAGAGCAGCATTAATATGACAGTGTGCTTTTTTGCTGTAGCACTTCCACATGTACAGCAGAAAGCATTATTGTTGTGTTTGCTCGGGCTTCTGGCGAAAGATAATCTGTCAGAACCGCTTTAGTGTTTTACAGCTCTGAGGAAACACAATGAATTTTATGCACTTGATTGTCACGGTTTATCAGGATCAGAATCATTTCTCGTTTTACTCAGAGAGGATGACACATGGGAGCAGTGTTTATGGGTTTAACACCACAGGGAGATCCAGAAATGAGACTTTACTTCGTTATAATAATCTCATAAGTCTTTTACACCCTTTTTTCCTGTTCTGCTTTTATTTACAGTCATATCCTGACACATGTCTGGCTCTTATCTGCGCTTACTTCCTCGTAAATAACCGGTTAAAACACTTATTTTTTTATCTCTCCTCTCTTATCTTCCCAATGATGAATTACTGGTTTCTAATTTCCGAATGTGTGGGCGTTTAATGAGGCCTAAGATATTTTATTCTCCTGCTATAACGCTGTCGACAAAATTGTGCGCTGCCGAGTGTAATCATGCAACGCTATCCGGCACAGACACTCTCTGGCAGCAGCGAGGCAAAACCTGCAGCCCAGAACTGCTCCACTTAAGGGAGGCTGATGTGAAAGGAGCAGACAGGCGAGAGTGGAAGGCCCTCCAGTCATGCAAAATGCAAAAGAAATATGACTTTATTACAGCTCCCTAATGGTGACATAACAATCTGTTCAGCCACTTCCCCCCAAATCTCAAAGCGTTTTTTTTTTCCCCTTCCCTTTTTTTTGGAGAGTGCTTCGCTCCACATGAAGGGATGCCTTTGAAAATCCCCAGTATGAGTGAGTTTAAACACAATTGAGTTTGAAATGCAGCTTTGACCGGCTCATCTCTTATTTATTTAATTTTTTTCTTGTACTCAATGTCAGAGTGATAAATGTCCTGAGAGGAAAAAACAACAATACAGGACAGCACTCCAGATACTCCAGATACTCCAGAAACTGATGTTTTTGAACTTCTGCAGTCGATTACATGCTGTTTTCTTGCAAATTTGAGATTAGGTCGTTGTTTTAAAAGGAAATTCATATCAGGATGGACTTGCAGCCAGGAGGTGATTAGCTTAGCTTAGCATTCAGACTGGAAGCAGGAGGAAACAGCTAGCCTGGCTCTGTAAAACACCTGGAGGCTTCACAAAGGACTCCCTGATGGCTCACAGTTTGTGGCTACAAGTCTTGATAATAAAGCGGTTTAGAGTAAAAAAAATACCCCTAGATAGTACAGAGCACATTTGGCTAAGCCTCACTTAAACCTTCCCAAACACCTTGTCTCCATTTGCGAGGGTGACGTATCTGTAGATCTGCAAACAAAGAGTTTAAATCTCTGGTGTGCAAAGAAATGCACATTCTAATAGATGATTGAAGCTAAACTACCTGCAGCCACAGCAGAAGAGACTAAAACTGATGAATCTGTATTCCATACCAAGCAACTGGAATGTAAAACCATATTTCAGCAGACTAACATCGCTCAGATCCATGATGTGTTAAAGGTGGGGTTGACTGGGATCCATTTGTAATTATCTGAAGTATTTATCTGCATTATATCTGAATTTAATTGGAACGATACGAGCGAGCAGGAGCGTCTGTTTGTGGGCGGGGCTTGCTGGAGCAGAGAGGGAGGGGAGAGGAGGAGCTGAGGGGAAAACTGTTGGGTAGTGTTTACATTCAAGATTTCTCCCAAATACTGGCACTTCCTCAGATCCAGCCTACCTCACCTTTGACACTGAAATAATAAGATAATTTTAATCAAAATAACCCACTCAACATGAAACATGAGTTTCTGAATTGTAGGAGATATGATGTAGACGCTTGTAGGCTAAGTAAATCCGTGTGTTATTGAGTTTAGCGTTCGTCATGATGTATTCATAAGATAAAACCTCCTAAACAGTTGTTCATTTACCGTTTAACCTTAACTTGATGTCAAAATCAACATGAATTTATATGTTTTGGTGAAACTTTGGACTTGACTGAACATTTTGTGAGCTTTTCTTCTGTTTTTAGTCTTTGTGCTAAGCTAGGCTGGTCGCCTCACTGCTCATAAAGCGGACACTCTGAACCTTAAATGTTTGTCCTTTAATCTTGGAATATGAAAACAAAATATCAAAGGTTTACAGTTTTGGGTCGACAGAAAGGAACTGGGTCTCATCAGTGACTTAAAATTTGTAATGTGTAGTCAACGGAAGATTTAAGGAGTCACTCATTGTCTAAAGAAATGATTAACATCTGTAGTTTGTACTCGTGTAATCTGGGCTGTTGCTGCAATATATGGCTACCACCGTGATGCCATCAAGCACTAAAATCCAGATGTAAATAATTCTGCACAGATTGGCAATATTTTCATCTAGAAAATGAAGATCAAGTTGTGTGTAGCAATCTGTAGCTAGCGCATGTATGAGGACGCATACTAGCAAAGAGAATTGAAGGCTGGTGGTGCTAGCTCTGCTATTCTTTGGCAAAACAACTTGGCATCATTCACCACTAAATCTGTGATCCCATGTTTAACTGTTCTGCGTAAACCGTGCCAAATATTGACAGTGTTCTGAGTGTTTTTTAACGTTTATGGAATTCAAATGGGAATGACGCACTTTGGAGCGTCCCGACCTTAAACGCCCATTTTTACTGAATAAAGAAGCACTTTCTGAGGCGAGAGCTCAGTTTTTTTGACAGTATAAAGAAGTCGGTGTTGTGTAGCACTGTCTGACTAATAATTCAAGGGTTCTCATGTCTTATTTACTCAAGAATAGGCTCAAAATTCCTGAGAATTCCTCCTGATTATGTTTTATTTTACACCCTTAAAAAAGCCCAGAAATGAAAAGCTCTGTTTTCTTTTCTCTTTAGTCCTTCTTTCCTCCTCAAAGTGTAGGACTCCAGATGAAAACCTGCCCAGATATTGGTCATAACACTTTCAGGGCACCGTGAGCGAGGGTTCACCATTTGAAGCCTCATCATAAATTTTTAAGGAGGAACATTTTGCAGCTATCTATTTGTGGATTTGAGAGATAAATAAAATAAACACAAACTCCTGTGTTTTCTCTCTTTTTTTGTAGGGTTGTGGAATTAAAGCCGTGAATAATGCATGCCTGAAAGCATCCGTCTCTCTCTGAGTTGCCTCTTTTGGATACCAGGGGAACTGAAGGCAAGTCCGCGCAGATATTTATGAAGTGTTGTTTGATTTCAGAACAAACAGTTTCTGTCAAGTGACTTCACCACTCAACTGTTTTAAGAGAACTGTACAGTGTGGACCAAATAACCAACCAAATCACCTTTTGGTTTTGTACTTTTCGTACTTTTGCTGAAGTGAGTACAAGTCTCTATATTGTGATCAGTCTATTTAAACTACAGATGATACAACAGTTTCCTAAAGTGAAGCAAAAACTTATCAAGCTCCCCCTGGTGGTCAGCTGTGGTATAGGTCAAAAATACACCATCGATTATGGCAGATCATTGACGCTAACACCAGAGTCCTTGAACTTCAACCCACCAGATCGCCTCTGCATGTCATTGATCAAATATATGTCACCAACATAATATGCAGTAGGATTTTGGCTTCACTTTTTATAATGGAAGTAGATGGCAGCGCGTTGTCCATGTTTACATACAGCTAAGTCAGAGTAGAAGAATGTTAAAGATTAGGATCAATATTGCTGTGCACTAACAGCCAATTTCAAACTCATCCCGACACTCCAACATCTCCTGGCGAACTATGTAACCTTCCACATGGCCCTGAGTGTCCCCAACAACCGTAGCATGTACTCAAGTATGGATGGACACAGTGAAAGTACATTATCACTCAATAAATCCGAAAATAAAGGTAGCATCAGTTTGGATGTTTACAGTCTTTAAATTCAAAGAGGTCCAACATGATGGGATTTTGGTCAAAGCAGCTGGGAAAAATTGGATTCAGCTCAGTCAGGGACCTTTTTGGGATTAGATATGTAATCCAATACTCTTAAAAATCATGTATAAACATTAGTCTGACTGCAACCGCGTATAGTTGGACTAACTTTTTCTCTTGCATGTATACAACTCAGTTAAACTGAAAATGGCCTGAGCCTTCTGCGCATGCTCTAGTGTTTGCATGCAGAGCTCTGAGCCATAAGTTGAATGCATTGCTAGCAAGCTCTGAGGTAAACAAAAGAAATCGCACCAATAAAAGCATGGAGCTTTAAAAGTGACGATATTTTCATCGTCTGACGTACTCCTTGTTAGCCTCTAGCTAGCTGCTTTTGTCGATTGATTTGATAAGTCATAGGTCCACTGCTATTACTTAAACTTGACTTAACTGTGCCTGTAAAGCTCCTGTGTGGTGCCATAAGATTTAACCATGCACTGCTTTTAGTGTTTATAACAAACCGTGAATTTGTAACACCCCTTAGCTTTGATAAGTTAGCTAGAAATAATAAAAGAAAATACCATGCAGTTTTGAAAATGACAGTTTCAGACCAAGCTAGCCTCATGAAGAGAATTTGCTTTAAACATACAAATAAATCTGTTTTTGTAAAGAAAAACTTAAATGATGCTATTAAGAGGCATTATGGGGAATGGAGGTTTGCAACATTTCTAGAGTTTGACTCATATTACAGCCTGAGGGCGATGAATCTCATCCTCAGCTGCGTAATCAGTCTCCGTCTTGAACATCAGACAGATGATGGAGGAGTAACACTGACTCACTGGAGTGACTCTTCAGACATGAGCACATTTCATACAGTCAAGCATTAAAATCTCAACTCAAAGTGGAAGATATTCTGATTTTTACAACTTAACCTTTGCCTTTATAATCTGTCTTTATGATTTTACTCATGCAGTAGACTAGATATTTAGCACCACAGTTCCTTTCTGCTGATGAATCTGCTGTTATTAGTTGTTGTGGTGTATTCTGACAAGTGTGAAAGCAGTGCTACAGAGGGTGTCACATCAATAATATGTCAGAGGGAACTTTTTTTTAGACATAAACGTGATATTCGGCGTATTTTGATGCACAGCTGGACTGACGCAGACGTTTGTTGACAGTGTAAAGTGGCTATGAACTCTGACCTCTGCTGCACATCATCCATGTCCGCAGAGAAGCGATGTGGACGGACGTGTAAACAGACGTGTTAATAGCAGCTTGCAGAGCAGATGACAGGTTGTATGAGAGTCTTTTGAGCGTCGGATCGTGACGTTGAGGAGCTTCACCTCAGGCTGCTGTCAGGCTGGATCTGCTGTCTGTTGTCTGAAATGTACGATGAGGAGGACCATCACGCCTCTCTCTGCAGATACACCACTGGCTTTATCAGCATTGAGATTGTTGGTGTTTCCATGTTGCAGGACATTCAGCTGAGGTGCACCATCTGTATCTGCATGTCAAAGCCACCTGATTAGTTTTGGATGAGTGCTTCAAACAGGAATAATGTAACTGTACACATGAAGGCAAACATGCTGGTGAACTGGTCTCAGCTCTGACATGAGCAGAAGTAATTAAGAGCTGTTTTGTTGAGTCAAACCTGTGGTTAAAGCTCCAGTGAGGAACTTTGTGTCTGTGTTGACTTTGTTCCCCCCTGTGGACAAAGTGGTAACCCTCATATCATTGCGGATTTTGTCTTTCTCTATTCATAAGATAAAACAACATTTCTTGAATAGGAGAACATTTTTGGAAGACAGGACTTAATAGCAGCACATTTTCAAATAAATTAAAAAGCCAACAACATATCATTGAACACAATATTTCAGAAAACCAACAAAATTTAGAGAAAATACATTTTGAAACACAAATATGAAATATACATTTTTGGATAAAATCCTTTTAACAATTCAGAAAACAAGCTTGCCAGTAACAAGTAATGCTTCGCAAAATCAAACTTTTCTCAAGTCTTCAATTCCTTAAAGGGATATTACTTTATCATTTTCTTTAAATAATAATCACCATATTAGGTAGTTCTTCTGCCTTAGTACCTCGGTCTGATTGCATTTCCATGAAGAAATGATCATAAATGTTCTTCCTTGAGCTGCGTCACCCCGCTGTAGTCCGTAATGGATTGGCCCAAGTGGCTGCTGGAAGAGAGTAGGTGAGTTGTGTTTAGTCTCTTTGCTAAAGAAATTAGGCAAAGTTAAAAATATGTTTGGTGGCTAGTGCTGTGGCTAGGACCCTATATGTACTGTTGATGAAGTTAGGTGCTGTTCTGAGCATTATTTGTGGCTATAGAGTGGCGTTTAGGTTGAGGTTTGTTTATGTCTCCTCAGACCGCTGTGTATTGCTATCCTGTGGTCGTTACTAAAGTTAGCATAACTAGAAAAGCAAGCGGTCGGCAACATTCATCTCTCGAGGGGGTGTCTAACTCGGTGTTATGGTGTGTTTGACTCAAATTAATTTTACACCGGAATATCCCTTTAACACAACATTTCATAAAGAGGATAACATTTCCAAAGTTTAAGGAGTCTAAATATGGCAAAATTTAGAATCAAAACTTGTTCTTTTCATTCTTAAATACTATCTTTTAACAAAAAATGTTATCAGCTTTTCTTTAGATGGTCACATTAATTAAAACAGCTGTTTTCTACAGCTGATTGGCTGACACCTACCCCCTCACACAAGTTTAAAAGGTTAGAAATGACAACACAAACATCATTAACCTTGCTTGTGAACTTCTCTTTTCCTTTCATATATCATAAAAAGGCATAAATATGAATTTCAGTCTGTTTCGTAAACGTCAGAAAACTCCTCACAGGAGCTTTAAATGCTACTGGGGGTCAGGTTTGTTTCCCGGCTGCTGTGAGTTAATGGCTCTCCTGGTGCTCTGTGTAATGGTTTAACTGCAGCGATGACACAGCCTGTTAGAGAGCCGCAGGTGCGTCTACCTGGCAGGCTGCCACTCAGCCTATCAGCCCACAATCCAATGATCCTTATTATCACCGCATCAAACACGGCTCCGCTTGTGTTCCACTCAGCTGCTGATTGCTCACTCATATGTGTGTTTGCGATGATAAATTCTCATGACTGGGCCGTTGCACTTGTGATTTGGGGCTGTCACACTGGATGAGCCGGGCGATGAGCAGCTGCTCGGCCCTCTGGGAGATCTGAGCTGAGAGAACACGCTGCGAATTCAGAAGGACGGGAGAACAGTTAGAGCGCCGATTATTCTGTGTTTATGGTGAGAGATGTGGGTCAGGTTACCGTCCTGTCGCCAATTGCCTGGAAGAGGAGGGTAAATCAGTAGGAAATACACCAGCTGTCAATTGACTGTCACTTTCACACCAACCTCGTGTGCTGAGTCAGCACTTTGTATGTAGGCAGCACAGGAAATGGAAAAATTGATTTGTTATCTTGAAAGCTTTCTTATCATGCCGTCTTTACATGCACAAAGTCACAGATCTGATACATAGTTATGACAGGATGTTTGCAAACTCCTTTGCTCTAGTTTAATATCCTTTTAATAAGACACCAATACGGACATCCAAAGTGGTTTCAGGTTCTCTACAATAATTTCTTAGCATAAATTTTCACTGTATCTCACGCTCTGTCAATATATTGACACAAACCACTAAAAGCTTGTAGAGAACTGATGTTAATCTGTGTGAGGCGAGCTCAAATTTGCCCAGTTTTTGGATGCCTTTTTTGACATTAGGTCACTTTACATGATTACTTCCAGTCAGATTAGTCAGATTTCAACACTTTAATCGGAGTAAAACATATGACTTGAATTTAAAAGGAAAAAACAGGTATAGTGCACCGCTTTAGATTTCCAATTGAATATCCACGTATACATCAATTTCAATTTTATTCTGTTGGTACCTCCATCTCCCTTACTGTGTTGCTGCTGCTATGTTGTCACACCACTAAGGGTACCATTGGCAGCTTGACCTTATAATCTTGACATCTTGACATATAAACCATATTAAGACCCATAGCTGCCTGTAAATCTCTAGAAAATATGGTTCTTTTGGGGGGCTTATACAGCTGAGAAAAGCCAGAGTGAAGCCTCCGTGGAACTTACTCTTTACTGTGAAACTGAGACTTACCAGAAACAGATGATCCAGTGCTACTCTGGGGGATGTAATAAACCAAAAATAGCTTATCTTTGTTGCAGTTGTACTTGACTTTCTTAACATTTCAGTTACTATTTACTGTGAATCTGAGACTTTCCAGAAGTGAGTTGAATATGTCTTCATCTAAGTTGCAGATGTTGCTTCATGGAAAAGACTCAAAGTTAAACGCTACTAATTCTTGGCATCAACTGAATTACTCATAAGTTGACATTATCGGACGATGATCACCAATGGGTTCTGTCATTGAAAAGACTCCGTGTTTTAGGCTAACAATCTCATATCTCAATGTGCACACCACCTTCGTCCTGAAACGAAAAAGTATTATCGAGTGACTAATAACCTATTGATCAGAGTGATGATCCCTCTGGACTGCTTAGAAACTGATATTCTACATTCACACACCAGTACAAGCTCCAAACAGACACATTGGTTGTGTCTCAGACTCGCTCAGACTCTGTGCCTCCAGGTTACATGTTCTTCACCACAGCTTCTTCACATTCGGTCAATAGTCTTCCATTAAGAGAGGGTCGGCTGTCAAAGCAACCCATGACCTCCTCTCGCCCCCTTAGAGCCCACCGCCCTGTGATGTCCGTATCAATATGAATTTCAGCCCTATGTGCCCATCAGCTGTGACTCCCAGTGTCCATTAGTCTCAAATATCTGTT